GCCTGGCCCAGCCCTGGCAGTTGCAGCCATTTGGGAAGTGAACCACTGGATGGAAGATTCTCACTCTCTGTCTCTCCCTCTCTCTGTAACTCTGATTTTCAAATAAATCAATCCTTAAAGAAAAATAATTCCAACTCTTCTCCGCCAAGGTTATCAAAAACACTGTTACCCAGATGTTACCTGGATGTGGGATGTCGCAGTCTATGAAAACCCTACCTGAAGCAGTGCTTCTCAAACAGCCACCCACACGTACCCCTGGCTCAAGGCAGGACAGAGGATATGGAAAGCCCTGCACATCTGGGACTCCAACCCAAAGCAGCCTGCTACAACCAAAATACTGTCTGCAAGTTTCCCGTTTTAGCTTAAATTCACGCAAACTGTGTGTTCCAATCCACACTAGAGTCAGGACTGTTTCAATCTGGAAATGCTGATGACTGAGTAAGACAGAAGTGCCTAGAAGACGCAAAGACTCCTTTATCCTGTAGCCCGGGAGTCCTGGGAGTGGTTTCAGTCTTAGCATTCTCTTCTGTAAAATGGGACTTCCACACCAATTTGGTCCAATTATCTACGAAGCGAGACAGCAGGTGAAGCACCCAGCAAAGTAGCAGACACCACGGCAGATACCTGGGACGAAGTCAACTCCTAGGGACGAATGACGAGGCTCCTTGAAAACACTGACACCCACCTGAGGCAACCGCTGCTTGCTGAGAGCCTACTCTGAGCTTGACCTTGTTTCCAATTGTGCTAGATATGTAGTGTCCCCAATGTACTGGACGCAGAGGCTCGGCGAGGTCAGGCAACTGGCCCAAGGTCGCACCACTGGTAGTGGGGGAGCCCAGATGTCCAGATAACGGAGAACCTGCTGACTCCAAAGCCCTAGTGCCCCCCATCCCACCACACCGCCTCTGTGTGTGCTGGGCAGGGGTTACAGGAAGAAGCCTCTTCTAAGAAGCACTTGCTTGGTAGGGCTGAACTTGAACTCCTGACCTCCTTGTTTCCAGTAAATTCAAGTGAAGGCGCGTCACCTCGGGCAGCACTGCAGGGCAGCCGGAGGCCCTCCCGCCCTCACTGGGGCCCAGGAGGCCCCCGAGCCCAGTGGCTTTCACTTTCACTTTCCAACCATCAGCCTGGCAGGTTCCCAGGAAACTGACGGCAGTCAGATGTCAGCGAACTTGGGCCCTGCAGAGCACCAACTCCTGTCAGGGCCCCTGCAGGCAGAGCACAGGGAGCCAAGGAGGAGGCCAGGAGGCCGGGGTGAAGATGGGGGAAGAGATGGGAAGCAGAGCAGCGCCAGGGACAAGGATGGTGCAGGGGCTCAGAGCCTGCACTGTGCCCCTGATGCTCACCCTACCTGTTCATTCATTTAAGGGCCAGTCACTAGGGAAGGCCGAGGTCACATCTGAGCCCAGATCCCAAGCCTCAGCGCCATCACCTCCTAACCGCGTGGTCTTAGGCATCATCTCCAATGTGGAAATGCAAATCTCACTACCTCCCAAGGAACGTGTGAGGGACGTGTGTGAAAAGAAGTCTGCAACTCTGCAATGACCTAAAGCAATTAGCAGTTACCATCACCCTGTAGTATAGCAGCAGAAAAAAGGCCAGCTCGCTGTGACGGGCCCAGGGAAGGAGGGAACATGTTAGAGAGGAGGGGCTTCTGCCCCACACAGAGCCCTCCCTCTGCCAGGCAGGGTTCGTCCTGTTACGATGCTTTAATTTTTGGAGGCCAGAGTGGCTACACAGCCACCCAGAGCTGTACAGCCTTCCCCACTGTTCTGAACAGGGAGCTGCTCTTCCCGAAGCCTGCTTCCGAGTCAGAGCTGCAACGCAAAGAAGAACCCCTCGGACGGCCGCTCGGCCTCATCCCTGCACTGCTGCAGCGCTCCGCCAGCCACGGCCCACCCCGTCAGAACCAGCGGCCCTGCCCTCAGCCCCACAGCCCCACCAGGTCCGATGAGGAGGGCGGACAAAGTCTCCAAGGAGCCCACACGGGCTCAGGGCTCGTGATCCAGCTGTTGAGCCCAATAAGGAAGTTTTGCTTTGTTGTCCAATAAAAAGTGAAACAAGTGCGTTCAAGACCGAGCTCAAAAGACTGTAGGGACCACACACTAGCAACTGTCCAGAGCAGCAAAAAAGATCTCAAAGCAGAAACACCTTTAACACTGGGAAGCAGCAGCCAAGGGCAGTGAGGGCGGCCCAGGAACACCAGGAGCTCCGGCGATTCCGGCAGCGTGGGGCTCTCCTCCCTTCCTCCCCTGCAGATAGCAAGGGTCAGTCCTGGCCTCAGGCAAGCTGCTCCTCATTAAGGTAGTCTCTGGCCTGTACTTTGGCCACGTAACAGAACGGTCTAGCCTGGTCTGAGACAGCAGCCATTTCACACACCCAGTTCCTAAACAACAGAGTAGGATCCTATGGCAAAACAGCCAGGGGGGAGGGGAGGGCAGCCCTTTCTAGCAGATTTGGGAACTCCTCTTGCTACAGAAATTAGCTAAGAACCCAGGACTGCCACTGTGCCCTCGACTCAGTGGTCTGTAGTACGTCCAAGCCCCGGGGACTGAGGCGAGGCCCCGGTGAGGGTGGACCTGTTGCTGGGGCGGCGGTCGAGTGTGTGTGTCTGGGAGCAGCAAAGAAACGGTCCTTCAAGCCCCAGCTCCTCACTTCTCTGGGCTTATTCTCTCCTCTACAGCCCAGCGGACAAGGCAGTCCCGCAGAGGCAGCTTGGGGAACCGCTCACGTGCTCTCGGGAGGACAGGGCTGAGCCTGGAGCCGAGGGGGAGGAGTAGGGAAGCCAGAAGATAATGAATGGGCAGAGCCACCCTGACCTAGCATTGAGCAAACCTCAGCTGAATTCTTCAGAGGCAGGAAGAGAGATACACTCAAGAGGACAGGGCCGGGGGACAGCGGGGACAAAACAAGAAGGCTGCTCGTTCCCAAGGAGTGCCCCGCGCCCCAGACTCCGCTGAGGTCCTGGCTGGCTCTCTGGCTGGAGGAGGGAGAACGAGTCGGGAGTTGTGGGAGCACACACACTTCTATGCGCGTGGAGTCGCCTCCCCCAGACCACCCTCCCCCAAAGGAAATCGAGACAAGACTTCTCCAGGGCTGGCGGGGACAACTGCTGTGGGACCGGGGTGGGGGGGACACGGCGACAGACAGCCCTCCCCGCCACCTCTACGGGAGAAGAGGGGCAGGTTCCTGCACACCTGGCAAAGACCGGCCGATTCTGGGAGCAGGGAGAGCGGAACTCAGGGTCCCTCTCCGCCGCGACTGGACTGGACAGGCCAGAGGAGAGCCGCAGGGGTTTCCCCAAGGTTCACAAAGGGCAGGTAAGTCGAGGAAAGAAGGGATCTTCCTGTGGCCTGACGCCTGCGGAGCGCCTTAAGAAGGGGCTACGGGTCGGGGGAGGGGTCAGTATCCCCCTAAGATAGGGCTGGGCAGAAGGAAGGGCTGCCCCGCAAAGGCAACTGGGCTGGAGAGACACTGGATCCCAGGACAGGCACACTCACAGCGGCTCCGGGGACGGCGGCGTTACTTGGGGACGGGGCTCGGACAGGTTTCGCTCCTCTCCCCCCCGGCGGTGTCCCAGGCTCCGGCCTCCACTTCCGCCTTTCAGCCGCTCCGGATCCGGATCTCTACCTCCGCCCCGCCCCTCTTACTCCCAGGTGACTGACAGGGCGGAGAAGCCAATGGGAGGCCCTCCTGGCCGACCCATAGGCGGTGCCGGTGAGGGTCGCGGGAGAGGCGGGAGAGAGCGAGCGAGGGACGGCGGGACTTGTAGTTCGCAGCACTGGGCGGAGCCGTCGCCTGCTTGGGACTTGGCCTTAGGGTGGAGCCGGCTGGGGCGAGGCGGAGCCGGCCTGGGCTGCTAATCGCGTCACTGCGGGTTCCAGGAGCCCCGAGGGAAGGCGAATGGCTGCGGAGCGATGGGAGAGGGCAGACGACTGTGTGTGTAGAACTGGGGAGGGGGCAAACGTGATGTGAATGAGTTCGTACGGGAGGCCGCGTGGGTCTCGTGCACTCGCTAACTGGGAGCAGCCCCTGGCCACGCTTCCTGAAGTTGGGGGCACTGTGTGATGGGGAAGGCGCTCTGGGATGCTAGGTGACATAGAAGGGGGCGCTTTATAAACCCTCCTGCGTTGGGCTGGTCCCTAGACACACAGAACCACCTCTGCCCCTCTACCCCTCCCCACACCCGACTGGAAGCAGATACAGAGCTGGATACCTGCTGCCTCAGCTGGAATCCCCACCCCCACGTAGGTTGAGACATTTCCGACGCCTCTCCCTCAGGTTTAGGGCCACTTCTCCTTATTCTCCCCGCCCCCCCTTCCCCTCCTCAGCCCCTCACCTCCCAACACAAGCCAGTACCTCTCCTATTTCTTCCTCTCACTCCTCAGGGACGCTACCCAAAAGCCCTATGGAATCTGTCTGTGACAGCCGCCATCACCCGTCGTAGCCTAGAGGCTGAGCTGCAGAATCTGGCTGCACATCTGGCTGCAGCTGGTTAGCAGGTGCTTCTTTCTTTAGAACATCCACAGCTCCCCTCCTCCTGGCAGCCACCATCAGAGAAGTGAAAGCTGGGAGGGCTTGGGAGGGCAGGGGGCGTGGGGCAGGGTGAGATTCCCACCAGGAGCTTGGCTGGTGCCCAGCTCTTCTCCCAGCGCCTGCTGCACGGAGCCCAGCAACCCCTCCCTGGGTAGGAAGGGTAGGGAGTCCCCTGGGCACTCCTTGCCAAGGCTGGAGGTAGGCCTGAGCCAGGACTCTGTCCCTCCCACATACGTGTATCTGGTGAGGGGGGGAGGAGGGCACATAACAGGCCCGTGGTGACTCATTAAGGTCTCTTCCTCATCCCTGGGGCCCCTGGTGGCGTGAATGTGGTGCCAAGTGGATTGCTTGGCTCCTCTGCCCTTGCTGGAGGTGACAACAGGGCTCTGGGGTATGGTGAGGGAGTGGCTGCCGGGCTGCCTCCTCCATAGCCGTGGCTCTCAGAAGAAGCCGGAGCCAGCAACTCCAAAAATAAAGTTTATTTCCTATCCAAAAGTTAGACCAGGATGTTGGTGCTGAAGGACAGCTGGAGATCAAGGCAGGTTTTTGAGGCGTCCAGGTCCTGGGTGAGAGCGTGTTGGAAGGGAGAGAACAGGCTGAGCTGAGGCTGGCGGCGGAGGGCGGACAGGGGGCGCTGCTGAGCGAGTTCAGAGTGGCTGGCAGCAGAAGGGACCACCTTGAGTGGAGTGACAGCCTGCAGAGAGACAGAAGCAGGGCAGTTGGCAGACCTCGAAGGCGTGGACATCACTGGGCCCCAAACCCTCCTCTGGGCACAGGGACCTGGGGACACTCTCGAAGGCAGGGGCTGCAAGCTCAAGTACCCACAGGAGCCAGGGCTCACATGAGGGAAAACAGCTGGGTGTCGGGGTGCTCAGGAACGGGGTACAGGCTGCAGCTCGCCTCTGAAGACGACAGCGCCCGTCTGTCAACTGAGCCCTGCTCAGCGCTGAAAGGAATGTTGGCCCAGGCTGCGTCGTAAGCATTTCAAAGTTGCAACATCTGGATTTCTGTGTGGCCTGTTTTTAATATGGCAACTAATTCATATTTTGGATAAAAACGCTGAAAAAAAAAGAGCCCTAGAATACATATTTGGGGCCATCAGTTTGTCTCCTGGGGGGGGCCTGCAGGATGCGGTGGACCCCTCCATCCTGCACCGAATGCCAGCCAGGATCTCCCGCCAACCCCTGCGGAGGTGACGCCAACCTCTAAGTCTCCAGCAGAGGGCCTGGCCCAGCTCCTCAGTATCACTGAGCTATTCCTAGCCGGAACCCTGCGGCATATCCCTCTCTATGGAGATGCCAGGATCCTACTGGTGCTGCCTCAGCCTGCGCCTCCCAGGCTGGGTCTGGGGTCCCGACCCCTCCCCTCTGCTCTGGCATCTCTACCTGCCTGCAGGTCCTAGGGTCGAGAGTCGGACATCTCGTCTGCCTGCCCAGCCCAGCGGGCACTGCGGTGCATCTCATGCCGGTTGGATCCCACGGCCTTGGGTGGCCCTGCTCACGGAGGACGAGGATCGGGAAAAGCTCGGTGAAGGGGACAGGGTCAGAGGAAGCCACACCTGGTTACAAAGTCCAGAGAACCCAGAGCCACCCAGACCAGCTGGTGGCTGCTGACCTCCAGGCAGGGGGCCGAGGGGCCCAGCTCCTCCTTGGATGGCAGGCAGCAATGCCCGCCCCAGACAGGCCTGAGCCCCGGAGCCAGGGTCAGTGGAATGTGTCTGATCTGGACCGGAAACTGTGCCTTGGGAGGCGTGGGGATGGGGCTGGGCCCTCTGGCACCGGCGAGGGTCCCAGAGGGTCATGTTCTGAGGGGCAGGGGGGCAGCATGGAAGGCCTCAGGTCCAGGGGCGTGGCCGCCACCTCTGCTGCTCCCACACTGGCCGGGCAGTGGACTTCAGCAAGTGTAGTATCTTGGAGGCCAGGGGGTGGTCCCGATCCACATGGAGAGATGCATGGCGGCCTCTGCTGGCGGCAAGGAAACTGTAGGGGCCAAGCCGGGCCTGCTGGGTGGCCTGGAGCCCCCAGCCTGGCCTGCAGCAGGCCTATCATGTGCCGCAGCTCCCGGCTAAGCTGAGACACTTCCTGGTTGAGGCGGCAGATCTGTGGAAAACACAGCAAGTCCCACGACTGGGAACCCCCCTCTACAGTTTACAAAGCCCTTTCTAAGGGGAGAGGCAGGGCAGGAGGTATGTGGGCCTAGGTTGTGAAGACCCCAGGATCTTTCCAGAGAAGATTTGGGGCAGCAGCTGTGGCTGACTCTGCCCTCACCACCACCCAAGACATGGAAACGTGCGCTCAAAGAGGCCGTGAGGCGACAGGCGCAGCCTTGCTCTCGGGGATTCCATGCCACGGGCTCCCGCATCTTCACCAGGCGCCCTCAAACTTCAAGGAGTACACAGTCCACTGAGACACTTGTCAAAATGCAGATTTCTGTCCCCTCCCCAGGCATTCCATATTGGGAAGGGCCAGGAACGTGTGTGTTCGTAAAGAGGTTCTCAGGTGGTTCGGACGCGGACAGTCGGACAGTTGGGCTTGGGAACCACTGGCCTTGCAGGACTGTGGGCGCCCCAGGCACTGAACAGGAGCAGGGCTCATCTCCTCCTCAACCTGCTGAACTTAGCTGGCCCTGCCCCCTGGGATGCCTGCTGTTTATCAGGGAAGGCCACTGACGCCCTGGGGCTGGGCTGGGCTGGGCTGGGCTGAGGTCCCTTGGGGTGGGGGTGGGGGTGGAGGCGGGCAGGATCCGCCTCCTCCAGGCCAGGGTTCCGATGCTAGGCTCTGGGTCCCCTCCTCCCAGCCTCCCTGCCTGCCCTTAACCCCCAACCACATCTGCTCAGCACTCATCTCCAGGTGGCTGGGCAGCAGGAGAGACCACCACAGGGCTGAAGGGAGCAGGGGCTGCTTTTCAGGCTGGAAACCCCCAGCCAGCTGGGAGGAGGGGAGCCGAGTGTTACTAAGCACCTGGAAGGCGCCAGGGATGGGACTAGGCACAGGCACGCTCTCATTTCTTCTCACAACAGGGAGGACACACGCATCTTGCCCCACTGTAGGTGGAGTTCAGGGACCTGCCCAAGGGCACCCAGCCAGCAGGAATGTCTGCACTGGGGACTGTGGCTCCAGACCCCGACACGTCTCCCGTCCCGGGCTGGTGCTCTAGAGGCTGGCGGCCAGGAGCCAGCGGGCACCCACCTCCTGGTTCAGCCTGCAGACTTTCTCCTTCACTTCTTCAGCCTCAGAGGTGGCCAGCTCCCGGCCGGGCCTGGTCCCTGCAGGCGGAAGGGGAGGAGGTGGGGCAGAATGCAGGGGAGTTAAGGGAGTGCGAATACCTGAGCCTGCAGCTCAAGGGCAGAGCGCAAGGGGAGAGGAAGCTGAGGACGCTGCGGGTCAGGGAGGTGGGAAACTCAGCGCCTTAGGCTGCATCCCTCCTCCAGCTCTTGGCCTGGAGCTTCCTGCAGCTTGAGAGCCCAGCAGCCCTGGGCTTCTCACTCCCTGCTCCACCCTCCAAGATCCCACCTGCCCTTACGAAGAACTTCAGCACCCCATCCTCCAGGAGGCACCGCCAGGGACACCCTGCCCTCCTCCCAGAGTCCTATTGTCGCAGTCATGGCATCTGGCACCCGGTTCTGGAATCATTTACCTGTGTACACAGGTGTCTCTGCTGCCGCCAGACTGGGTGCTCACCAAGAGCGGGAGCCAGGTCTGGTTTATCTGTGTATCCCCGTCCAGTGCCTGCCACATGGTAGGCCCCCACCGTGAGCAGGCAGATGCAGGACTGTGAGCTCAAGACCACTGCTGGCCTTTACCTGTAGGGGGCGCCTGCGAGCGAGGCCTCGAGACCTCAGGCCGCCTGCTGAACCGGAACGTGGGGGCCTCAGCTGTGCTGCCAGCGTCCTCGATGCCATCCACTATCCTGGGGACCCGGGCAGTGCTCATCAGCACCACGGGAGGCAAGGGCCGGAGCACAGCAGGCAGAGGTGGGTGGGGGCGGCGGAGCCAGGGAGATGGGGAAATGCAGCGGGCAAAGCGGGCGGAGTGGCAAGGGTGGCTGGAAGCGTGGGGCCGGCAAGTGGGGCAGAGACAGGAAGGAGCGCTGGTTGGAACGCTGGGGATGGAGCCCATAGAAGGTTCTGGAAGCCAGTGGGGGTACAGGGAAGGCAAGGGAGGCTGGCATCTCACCGGGGACTGAGGTCCGGAGGTCCACAGGTTCCCAGTGGGGGGATGAGGAGCTGGGGGGGCTTCCAGGCAGCAGAGCACCTGGGGGGGCCGTGAGGGGAGGGGCTGTGGCCCTGGCCAGCCAGGGCAGGGGACAGGGACGGGGACAGGGAAGGAGAGGAGACAAGGGCTGAGAACGGGGGTAGCTCCTCGCCCAAAAGGCTGACCAGGGAGCCCCGAGGCCGTGCTGGGCTGAGGTTGGGCAGCAGGAGGGGCCGGCGTGGCCGGGGACCACCCCCCGGCTCCACGCCACCCTCGGCCTCCGTGATGGATGGCAGAGTCTTCTCTGAGGAGGAGCCGAGGCTTTCGGAGTGTGGCTGCGGGCAGGGGGGCAGCTGATGTCACCCGACAGCGCCTTCCCCTCACCCCTCTCCCCAGCGCAGGCCGAGCCCCCCGGGCAGGCAGTGGTACCTGGGAGAGGCGAGGGGATCGGGAGAAGCGGCCCAGGCCCTGTGGGGACAGATGGAGGTTCGAGTCAGCTCCCACTGCCCCGCTCCCCTGGGGCAGCCCCTCCTGCTCCCTCCCCCCCACAGTGTCCCGGGCTGAGTCAAACACCGCCCACTGCCAGGGATCCCGAGTGGCAGAGTGGGAATGAAGACATCGCAGCAGATGAAGGCGTTGTGTGTGACGTGTGATGGACAGACCTGGCCCAGAGCCGACGGCAACATGGGCTCAGGGAGCACTGGGGGAAGGGAGAGGAAGCCCCAGGACAAGATGCCGGGTCTGGAAGGGACTTCCGGGAAGAGCCCAGGATGGGGTCTGTTCCCAAAGGGAGGGTCCTTGGAAGGGGTGAGGCTGCAGGGGATGGGTCGGTGGGGCTGCAGGAAGGGTGTGGCCCGCAGGGCTGAGTGACGGCTGGTGGGGCGGTGGGTTTGGGAGATGCTAAGCATGGAAGGGGCACCTGGGTGGAGGGATGGTGTTTCCAGGGTGGAAGGAGACGCACAAGGCTCTCCGGGGCCAGGGGAGGGCTGTTTGGAAGGAAGGGACCTTGGAGGGGGTGGATGCCACCCGGGGCCTACATACGCTGGTGTCACAGCCCTGGCGCAGGTTGAAGGTGAGGTCCCGGAGCAAGCCAGCCCGGAAGACAGCTCTGTACTCAGGATAGAGCCGCAGGACCTCAGCCAGCCCCCGGCTGCTCAGCTGCTGCAGGCCACAGTAGGTCAGCGCTTTCACGTCGGCGCTGGTCTTCAGCACGCCACTCGAGCCTGCCCCTGAGCCAGGCTCCTGCCCTGGCTCAGGGATATCTGCTCCAATCAGGTCCCCCTTCCCTGCGGGGCAAGGGGCAGAGACAGTCAGCTGAGGCAGAGGGGTGTCGGCAGGGGGTGGTCAGTGGGTCTGAGGCATGGCCAGTGTGTGTAGAGGCTCAGGTCACTGAAGGCAGCTCCATCGCTGGGGCTGGTGGACGTAATCGATGGAGTTGGAGAACAATCCATGACTGCTAAGGAAGGGAGACTGGGCTTGGCAGTAGGGCAGGAGGAAAGATCGGTGGAATTCGATGCTGGACAAAGAATGATGAGACAGAGGACTCTGTTACAGGGTTCAGGTCGCTGGAAGTTAGGGTAACTGGGAGAGGGCCAATGGAGTTAGGAGATGGAGCAATGGGAAATGCCTGAGCTGGGGGACGGTCATGGGCAGGGTGAGGGATGGCCGAGGAGGCTAGGGGGACAGCTGGGGGAGGATGGGCAAGGGGTAAAGGGACCAAGAGAGTGCTCCTCCACAGGAAGTCCAGGTACCCCCTGGGGTATGCTATTCCTAGACTGCTGGCCTCTGGGGAGGGATCCAGGGTCAGGAGGGTCAGTGGGGGTCCTCACCCAGGATGGCCAGCACCATGTTGTCTCGCAGCACCTCGAGTGAGCCGGAGCAGACGTAGTAGTGCGCCTGCAGAGCGTCCCCACGGCGCAGCAGGTACTCGCCCGGGGCACAGAACGAGGCCTTGATGTGCAGGGACAGGGCCCGCAGGCAGCCCCTGCTTGCTGCTCCAAACAGCGGCAGCTGCAGGATCTCCCGATTCAGGTGCATGGCAATGTCAGCTCTCAGCTCGTCCGGGAAGTCGCGCAGTAACTGCATAGGGGCATAGGGCATTCTGGCCATCCCCCTGCATGTACTCCCTGAGTCTACAAGCGTGCTGAATTAATCTCCAAGGAGAGTGCTTCCATGGGCCTTTTGCTTTGAGATCACCCATTCCAGGCCTTCAGGAAGTCTAACCTCAGCTTTGCCTGCTGAGGTGTCAACCTTCCAACCCGATTTCTGGGGCAGGGACCAGGTCTCCTCCCAGCTGTTTACTGCTGAGGGATCTTACCTTCAGAAGTAGCTCATCAATCCACCCTCCCAGACCTGCCACTCCCCAGCCTAAATATTTTGCCAAGATAAAAATCTAAAACCGAGGCTACCCGGGGGCGGGGCCTGCGGCCTTCCCAGTCCCTTCCCTCACACTCCCTCCCGTCCCCCCCTCCCAGCCCCCAGCTCTGACACACACAAGGCTCACTGAACCACTCCCAGCTTCCTAGATCACACGCCCGTGTTCTCTGTCAACACTTCCGGACCTGTGTCCCTACTAGCAGGCCGATTTCTTTTTGTCTTTTCCACGTCCCCTCCTCTGGGCCCAGACGCAATGAGGTCCACCCACTGTCCCAACATCGCCCTTCACAGTTCCACTGGCTGCTCAGGTCTTCCTCTCCCAGTCCGCCTCGCTCACCACCGTGGGGTCTCCCTGGGGGTTAGGGCTTCGCGCAGTCATCGCTAAGCTCCTTGGCTCCAGCCCCAAGGCTGGCCCACAGCAGGTGTCGCCGGAGATGGCATTGGCAGAGGCCTGGACCCCTTTTCAGCTTTCGCACCCATGTGGGTTTGGGTGGACGCGTTGCACCGCTTATGGACAGCACCTGGCCTCCCTGGGCCCCCTTTGCTTTATTCCCAGCTGAGTGGGCCGCGGCCACACGCACTACCTCGTTGGCATCGATGCCGCTGTTGACGGCCCACGTGGTCTGGAAGTACTCGAGCATGCGCTGTTTGAGCGCCCGCGGCAGGCGGTGCACGCGGATGAAGTCCTTGAGGTCCTTCATGCGGCTGTGGTAGAGCGAGCGGCGCGAGTACATGCGCTGGATGATGGCCGTCACGTTGCCGAACACCAGGGCGTGCATCAGCGCTGCGAGGGAGGCGACCGCAGGGTCAGGGGCCGCTTGCGCCCGCACACCGACGGGCGCCCGGCCGCCCTCTGGGATCGTGGGGAGGCGCCTGCCGTCCCCCCTCCCCCACACCCCAGTGAGATCCTGAACCCGGGTGTCCCAGACCCCTTACTAAAAGGTTGTGCCTGTCTGTGCCCTCCCCCGGGGACAGCACCAAGTGGGAGAGCAAGAAAATGAATGGCGCCACTGGACCTGGTGGGCACCGCGCCCTCAGGGCCTCAGTTTCCCCCCGTGCACGCTGGCCCCCGGGTCCCCCGGAGCGGAGCAGGCCTGGCCTCACCGCCAATGAGCATGGTGCAGATGGAGAAGATCTTCTCGGCGTCCGTGTTGGCACACACGTTGCCGAAGCCCACGCTGGTGAGGCTGCTCAGCGTGAAGTAGAGAGCGGCGATGTAGGCGCTGCGCCGGGACGGGCCGCCCGCCGAGCCGTTGACGTAGGGCATCTCCAGTCGCTTGCCCAGCTCGTGCAACCAGCCTGGGAGGCGGAGGGAGGCAGGGAGGGGGCCCGGGCTGCAGAGCGCTCGGAGCCTGCGTCCCCAGAGCTGCCTCAGCTTGACCTAAGCTGCCAGTGTTTACATAGGCGCGGCCGGTGCACGGGCAGGCACCGGTTGTCACAAGAAATGCCAGGAGCCTAGCGCCGGGCCTCCGCGCCACCAGGGACTGGTTACAGTTCAGCCCAAGGCCGCCAACTCCCTTGAACCCTCGTGTTTGTGCACGTCCTGCATCCCGGGAGCTGCGACTTGGCCTTGACACTTCCCCTGCCTGGTGGGATTTACAGTCTGGAGGAACTGACCTGAAATAGGCCATCACAGCGGGGAGGCTGGGAGGGATCCTGACAGGCAGGGGGCCTGTGGCCCGGGCAGCTCCCTTAGGACAGGCCCTCTGAGCTGAGATTGCAGGGAGCGGAAAAGTCACCCAGGTGAAGGAAGGGAAGGAGACAAAGGAGGGAGGGGTCCAGGGAGGAAAAGGACAGCTGGAGGCCCCGAGTGGGCGAGCAGTGGGGCCTGGGAGGAGGCAAGGGCAGGTGTGGACTGCGTTTTGGGGTCGCAGAGGGGTGGGCACTGAGACAGTCCAGGCAGGGTGTGGCAGGTCAGCCTGGACGCTTGGAGACCGATTTGGCTGCAGGGAGGAGGTGGTTGGGTGGGGATGAGGGGGGATGGGGGGGAACTACTGCGGGAGCCTAGGAAACAGACGGCAGTGGAGGTAGACTGGGAAGGCGGAGCCACCAGAATGGAGGGAGATTGGAGAGGTGGCGTTGATGGGCTGGGCTAGGTGTAGGGCAGAGGAAAGCTCTGGGACAATGCCCACGGAATGTGTTGCCTTCCAGGGCACACTAAAGGCCTGCGGCTGGCTCCTGGCCAGTGGCCATTAAGCTTGGAGGAGGAGGAGGGCTTGACGGGGGCAGGGAGGGGACAGGCGAGGCTCCTGAGCCTTTGCCAGTAGTTTCCCTCTGCCCCAGCACCCCTCCCCCATCAGAGTGCCACCCATGCTGTGCTCCAGGTGCCTGTCACAGGTGTCGCTCTAACAGGCAATGCGATCCCCTCAAAGACTGCATGTTGGAAGAGCGGAGGAACGGGGCGTGGCGGCAACAGCGGGGGGGGGGGGGGGGACGATGGGTGAAAGCCGGGGTCGGTGGCTCACCAATGTCCCAGAGCAGCGGGTCATTGGCCTCCATCTCCCGGCGCCCGATGACGTACCAGACGCAGGCCATCCAGTGGGCAAGGAGTGCGAAGACGGACATGAGCAGCGTGAGCACCACCGCGCTGCACTGCGAGTAGCGCTCCAGCTTCTGCAGGAGCCGCAGCAGCCGCAGCAGCCGCACGGTCTTCAGCAGGTGCACCAGCGAGGTCTGTGGGAGGGACGGAGGGAGGGGGGTGCTGGCAGCAGGCACTGCTCCTCAGGGCCCTTCCACCCCCAGGCCCCCTCCAGGGCCTCCCCACCAGACACCCTGGAGCCGAGGGAGGGAGGCTGCAGCAGGAAAGACATCGCTGCTGTCCTGAGAAAATGGCTCAGAAACGCAGAGGAAAAGGATCGCGGTAAAACAGTGGCTGACGTTCAGTGAGTACTTTCTGTGTGGGCCTGGTGCTGTCCTAAGCAATTGTAATTCTCAGCAAAAGAGAACAAAAATATCATCACTCATCCCAATTTGCAGATGAATAAGGTAAGGCTCAAAGAGACTAGTGACATGCTCAAGGTCACAGGCCAAGGAAAGGAGGAGCCAGCGGAGAGGCCTGCGGGTGGGGTGGGGGGGCTTCCCTTTGTGGGTCAGCTGCAGAGGGAAGGAGAGCAGAGCTCGGGCTGTGCTGGGGACAGATGGAGCCGACGATGCCAGTGGTGTCCTGCAAATGTTCGCTTCGTGACCTTGACCACTGGTGTCATTATGGTTGTTCGCCCCTCACTCAGCTCTCCCAGTCTTGGTGATGAGGAGCAGACAGGAGGGCTTATCCTCCAGGGCGGCCCCTGAGGAACTTGGCGAGGAGGTCCCCACTGCCCCTGCAGGGCGTCCAGGGCCATCTCCCACAGCCCAGCCACACTCTCTTTCTGAGCCACCTCCAGCCGTGTGGTCCAGTTTTAGGTGAAGGAGCTGGAAAGCAGGTGCCCTGGCTTCCCAACACAGACCCTCTCCAGGGCTCGCTGCCTACCCAGCCCCGGAGCTCCTGGCTCTAAACTTGAGTCCTTCAGGGCTTCCCCAGCCACCTGACCTGGGCGTCTCTGCCTTAGGGCCCCTCCTCCCTCTCTCTTTTTAAAGATTTATTAATTTGAAAGGCACAATGACAGAGAGGATTCCCTAAGCACTGGTTCACTCCCCAGATGGCTGGGCCAGGCTGAAACCAGGAGCCAGGAACTCCATCCAGGTCTCTCACATGGTGGCAGGGACTTGGGCCATCCTCTGCTGCCTTCCCAGGTGCATTAGCAGGGAGCTGGAGCAGCCAGGACTCAAATCGTAACTCCCAGTTGGGATGCTGGTGTGGCAAGCGGCAGCTAAACCTGCTGCATCACACCGCCAGCCCCGTCTCGTTCTGCTCGAACTGGAAGGTCACAGGCCTGCCCTCAAGTCCACAGCTCTGCCAGCGCCTGCTCACCCTCTGTCTGCTCTGCCTCCCTCCAGCCCCCAGCGCTGCCTCTCATCAGAACCTGAGCCAGGCCATTCCCTCGGTAACGTGCTGACCTGGGAAGCAGGGTGATACGTGGGAAAGAATGGAGCCCGGAGACCTGCCTTTAATCTCCTGCATGCCACTGCTAGCTGTGTGACCTTCAGCAAGTCACCTAACCTCTCTGAGCCTCTGCATCTACCTCGGAAAAAGGATAAGAGAATCCTCCCTGACGCATTACTGTGAGGCGCCCGTGCGATGATGTGTGTGCAAGCACAGTGACCATAAAGTGCTCCCAAAGGTCCCAGGGGAGGGAGAACGGGGCTCTCCGTGGCTCCCCCTCTCCCCTGAGGACAGCCACCTGCCCATCTGTTACTGCCTGTGGGCACAGCGGGGTGGGTGTATTTCTGGGTTAGGCATGGAGAGCTGGGCTCAGCATGGCTGGAGGGCAGACGGACACACGGACACACCTGCACGTGTGGGGGAGTGCGCACACGTGTGCGCAGCCAGGAGAAGAGGCCCGCGGCCCGTCGGCGGCTAGTTAAATCTGGCTGCGTGTAGGTGGTTTCCTGCTATAGCTGGGAGCGGCAAGGAGAGCACACAAGGAAACTGCTCTCCACCTCCCCTCTCAACAGCCAAGGGGGTCTGGGGACACAGGGTAGGACTGCCTCGCCTTGAACTCAAACTCCGCCGGTTGGGTCCACAGCAGACCACTCAGGGCACCTCCAGGGAACTGCAAGGACACAGGTCCTGACCTTGTCTGCCTCCGAATCCTGCCCCGCCCTGCCCGCTACATACACACAACGCACACACACAGTCTTTCCCCCTCTTCTTGACTTAACTGTGCTCCAGTAATGTTCCGCCTCCCTCCTCAGCTCCACCCCATTCAAGGTCAGGCTCTGCTCCCCCCTCCCTCAGGAACCCTTCCTTCCCAGACTGCCCCAACCTCTGCCCGACTCGGCTGCCATGGCCTCACAGGTGCTGGCCGGGTTTCAGGTCGTTTCCACACGTGCTCGTGCTCCAAGGCCAGTGCAGCCCTCAGCTAGCACCGTCTGGGCCCCATCCTCCGCTCCTGTTCACTTGTTCTTTCCCCATGCTCGCCACCACCACCCCCCCCCCCCCCCCCGCCGCCCGGCCACACCCCCTTCCCAGCCAAGCTGCCGGCAAGCCGAATCCTTGTGCAATGCTCCGCAGTGACCATGCCCCACATAGTGCTTTGCAGACAGCTAAATGCTCATCGGTTGTTTGTTAAATAAAAAATGTGAAAAGCACCACTCACTTGGCGTTGGCCCAACACCGCCTTGGTAGCCATAGTTAGTTTTGCATTTGTCTAGGCTTCCCTCACTGATTATGCACCAAGCTCCCCAGAGTGCAGACCCTCTCTGGTCCTCCCCAGAGCCTAACCCAGCGTCATGGCCACAGCAGGTGCCTGATGGATACTTGCAGTTGGGTTGGCGGCAAGGGTTGTGTCTGAGTGGTCAGTCCCCTGATGGGAGGGGCTGTGTTGATGTTGGGAGGCGCGGCTGCGTGGGGAGACAGGGGTCACTCACCACGGTGATGTTGAAGACGTAAAGCAGGTCAAAGGGCAGAGCAGCAATAAGGTCAACGAAGAACCAGGTGGCCAGGTAGTGGAGGCCAATGGAGCGAGGGGCGGAGATCACCTGGCCAGACTGGGACACGTAGGTGGTGCGGAAGTTCAGGATGATATCTGGGGGTGCAAGAGGTGGTTGCTAGGGAGGTTAGCCTGACATGCTAGGGAGGTTAGCCTGGCATGCTAGGCAGGTTAGCCTGAAAACTCAGGCCAAAGGGCCCTGGGACTGGACGAGCTGGGGACAGACCTTGGAGACCCCGAATGGAGCAGGAGGCAGGAATGGGAGGGAGAGGTTGGGCGTGCAGCTGGACCTCGGGGAGAAAGGCCACAAGGTTGAAGGATGCAGGGGGCAGGGGGCTGGGCACGTGGACCATGGGACTTAAAACCCCAGAAAGGGATGGGCTTGGAAAGGCCGGGTCCAGCAGGCCTGAGGTGCAGTGGGGCTCGGCTGAGGGCATCGCCCCAGGCCACCCAGCAGGGGATGCGGGCGGAGAGTCTGACCCAGGATGAAGAGCATCTCCACGGCGATGTCGCTGGCGAGGGTGTGTCGGGAAGTGACGGGGGTGTCGTCATCCCCCGCGAAGCACACGTTGTAGGGCACAGTGACCGCGACGTAGAAGGTGGCGAGGAGGATGAGGCCGTCCCAGATGGCCTTGGGGACGCTGTAGTGGAGGAGGAGGCAGCGGGACCCCCCCACGGAGGCCACTTTGTACTCGGGCACTGATGGCTTTGGCTCAAACACGTTCTAAAGGGAGAGGGGTGGCAGTTGGGGACACTCGGGGGACAGAGGAGCCACAGCTGGGGGCAGGGAGAAGCAGGGGATGGGGGAGGTGGGGAGCGGGCACTGCGAAGGTGGCTGCGAGCAGAGGTGGAGGGGAGGGGCGGGGCGCAGAGGCTGGTGTCTGGCATTGCCCCCTCCTGCCAGGCTACTGCCCAGGCACCCTGTGCACCCGTAATGTGGTTGAGAGAGGGAGTTTCTAAGGTTTGACCCTCACCTCCTTGAGAATTATAACATATCAGTTGCATGCCCTAGCTTGAGGAGTCGCTAACTTCTCCATTAAGTCTTTCCTTGGTCCTGGGGGGCTTTTAGGGGGCTCATATGTCCTAGGGGAAGAGGAGGCTGGCACAACCCTCCCCATTCCTTGCAGCCTGACAGACTACACAGAGGGTAGGAGATTCCCTCTGGCTGTGGCAGAGTCTTAGGAGGGGTGCACGGGGTTAGAGGCCAGGCCCTCCACGGGGGCTGTCTCCCTAGGCCCATAGCAGCTGTGGCTTCACCCTATCACCTTGGCGTGGGTGCTGTGAGTGCTGCCAGAGCCCCGCCCTCGTGATAGCATCAGAGCGGAGCAATGTCAATCATCTAGGGTAGCAAGGGAAGTAGGGATGGAAGGAGCTGTGGGGGACACGGGTTGGAGCCAGGCAGTGCACAGGCCCTGGAGGGAGGCCGGGGGGAGGGAAGGGGGGGCAGCGGCAGCAGAGGGGTCTCAGAGTTGAGGCGGGGGGACCTGGGAGCGGCTGGGATGGGAATGGGACTCACATTATTGGCCTTCATGCCTGGCTGGGCCCGGCGGCCGAAGTGGCCGGTCAGTCGGTGCAGGACGGTGCGGCTCTGCCGCCTGGCGGACCGCAGTTTCAAGCCGGCTCCCCTCCTGCCAAGGGAGCTTTCTGTGGGGAAGAAGGACGTGGAGGTGAGGTCGTGCCCTTGGGCAAGGACTTCTGACTCTTCTTGCCTCCGCCCAGCCTTGCAGTTACCATGATTGCTGTCCCCGTGGCCTCCCGGGGGGCCAAGTCCTGGGCCTCCACGGGGCGTGATGTCCTTGAAGGAAAAGAGGAATAGCACGACCTCCCCCATCTCGTTCTTGATGGGCATCATGTCCAGGAGGCACCAAAAGGCCGAGCCTGCGGACGTGGAGAGAGGCAGGAGGCAGTGAGCATGCGGCTCTCTCTGATGCCCCCGGGGCGCCGGACACCGGCAGAGGGCTTGGCCGCAGTTTGGAACCCCAGAGTCTGTCGGCTGACTCCCTCATTGTCCAGAAGAGGGAGCCGAGGCCCAGAGAGGGTCGGGGATAACCTCAGTCCCACGGTCAGCCTGTGGCAGCGTGGGCACCAGCACCCAGGCTGCTGCTGTGCCCAGTGACTCTGGGCAAGGACTGGTGTCTGGGCAGGGCTGCAGGGCCCCTCACCATCCTTGCGATAGAAGCAGATTTCAGCCCGGTGTTCCTGGTGGCCCTCCAGGGCCTTGTGCAGCCGCTGCAGGGCTGGCTCACTGGTCTCTGGGCCGTAGAGGAAGCGGCAGCTGCAGGTCTTCTGCATGACCTCGGTGCGGCCGTAGCCAGTGAGCTCACAGAAGCCGTCAGAGCAGTAGACGATGGGAAAGCCCCGGGGGCCCTGTGCGTTGGCCAGCAGGAAGTTGCTGTCTGTGGGAGGAAGTGGTCAAGATCAGGACGAGGCCAGGAGGGGAGCGAGCTTCCAGGTGGGCAGTGCCTCCCCCAGGTGGTGGCCAGAGGTCGGAGCCAGAAGCGCCCCAGGCTCTGCTGTGGCTCCTGACCCTCTTTGGGATATTCTGAAAGGAGAATCAGAGGAGATGACAAAGAGAAAGGACTCAGAGGTGGCCTAGAACCGAGGCAAGGACCACCACGGGGAATTGGAGGAGAAAACCAAACCCCGAGAGATCCTGAGGTCCATCTCCCGCCTTCCGGCCGGTGAGACCTAATTGTAGGAATCAGCATAGCATGGCAAGCAATGGGCTTGGGGCCAGCGTCGTGGCACAGTGGGCTAAGCCACTGCCTGCAACGCCAGCATCCCTTATGAGTACCGGTTCTAGTCCCGGCTGCTCCACTTCAGATGCTGCTCCACTTGGAAAGCAGCAGAGGATGGCTCAAGTGCTGCCACCCACATGGGAGACCCAGATGGAATTCCAGGCTCTGGACAGGCCTGGCCATCGTGGCCATTTGGGGAATGAACCAGTGGATGGAAGATCTCTCTTTCTCTCCCTCTCTCTTGTAAAATTGTCTTTCAAATAAATAACTTTTTTTTTCTTTTAAAAACAGGCTCCAAAACCCCTCTCCTGTGTGACCTTGGGCAAGTTAATTAGCCCTCTGGCCCTTCTCTGCCAAGTGCGTCATAAGACACCTTCCTGACACGGTTGTGGCAGGAGTGACATCAGCTAACTTGGGGACCACAAATCCTGGTGCCTAGGGAGTAGGACTCTGAGAAGGTGAGATGACTCCCTGACGTTTGCCCCATCACCCTCTTGTCTTACGGCAGAGTGAGCAGGGCAAAGATTCTGGCGATCTCACCTATTGTACTGATAGGAAACCACAAGACAAGAGAGTAGCCAAACTCACAAGTCTCCTTATTGCGGGGACGACACAGAGATGAGCAGTCCTCATCCTCTGCCTCCCAGGGAAGGCCCGCTTGTTCCCATTCCTTTAGCCATTTTCAGGGGATCTGTCCCCCAGGGCTCAGAGTTCAACAGGAGAAGGCACGGAGGGTGCAGCTCCAGCAACCCCCCAGCAGCAACAGAACCTGAGCTGGCTCCCTCCGGCTCCAGTGAGTGGGAGGCTGTGGGCCGCCCAGGGACAGTTGCAGCTGACTATGGGGGCCTCAGACACAACCAGTTCTGGGGCACTAGGAAGGATGACTGTCCGGGGGTGGGGCGGCTGATAGGGACAGACACTGAGGGTGCCTGGGAGGCTCTGAGCCCTGGGCACAGCCTCCTTCTCCCATCCCAGGGCCCGTCTCCCTGGTGATGGGTGCTATGGAAACGGGGGAGGTGTGTGTGGAGGGAGGGTGGAGAGGCGGGTAGAGCCAGGTTGGCTCGGTTTCCGCCCTCGGGTACCGCTCCTCCACCCTCCAGCTCCCGGCCAGGGCTCCCGAGGGGTCTGGGAGGGGATCTCTGCTCCAGAGTAGGACGAGGGAATGGCGGGAGAAGAGGCGGGGAAGGAGCGGTGCGGCTGTCCGAGGTGCTGAACCTGGGACCCAGCCCTGGTGGGATGGGGCGAGCGACCTTAATCCACACTAGGTCCTGCCGAAGCCTGGTCTTTGCTCCTTTTTGTTTGTTTGTTTGTTTGTTTTGTTTGCTTGAGGGACGTGCAGCTGGAGTCGTCTGGGAGCAGCTCCTAGAACGCCCAGCCTCTTCGTCCCACCCGTGCCTCGGCTACCCGCCCCCCCCCACGCCCCCGGCAAAGCTCGGCCCGGGAGTGGGTGGCTCCCGAGGCCCCTCCTCCGTCGCCGCACAAAGAGCGTCTTCTGCCTCGAGTCACACCCCCTCCCCGTGCCCCCACTCCGCGCTCTGGGCCCCCTCCTTCCCCCTCGCAGAGCGCTCTCGCCCTGTGCCTTAGCCACGGCTCCGGGCGGTCCTAGACCCTCAACTCCGTTCTCTCCGCTCGGCTCGCATCTCACCACATCCAGGGGACCCGGGCCAGCCCCGTGGAGACTTGGCCCCTCCAAGTCGAACCTCCAGCCCCGACCCGGTCCGCCCCACTCACGCGTGCCGTCAAAGCGGGTGGCGATGGTGTCCAGGAAGGTGTTTTGCGGGGCCAGCAACCCCTTCATGACCGGCATGGCCCCGGGTCGCGGGTCCTAGGCGCGGAGCCAGCGAGCCTTCAGCGCGGCCGGGCCGGAGGGGGCACGCTGCCGGCGGGGCCGCGGCGCCCCATGCGCCCGCCTGCCTGCTCCCCTCCCTCTCGCCGCCGCCGCCGCCGCCTCTCTGCTCTGAACCCCGTGCTCTCGGCTCCGCTCCGCGTCGCCGCTGTTCCCCCCCCCTTCCCCCCTCCCCGCCTCCCCACGGGTCAGGTTCTTCCCCGCGGGCTGAGCCCGCGCCCGCCACGTGGCCCCGCACGGGGAGGGGCCACCGGCGACACCCGCACCCCCTCCCCGGCAGCCCTCCTCGCACAAGGGAGCGGCCCACGCGTGTCTCTCGGGGAGAGAATCTGAGACACGCCCACCGCAGGAGGAGGCCTCAATTGGTGGGGCGGGGCCTGAGTGGCAAGCACGCCCCCTTCCAGGTGGCCACGCCCCCACGCGTGGTTCCCGGGCAGCTCCCGAGGCTCCACCTCGTGGGTTTCCCCGCGCGCCGCCCACGCCTGGCGCTGGCGTCCGGCTTACAGTGCCGCCTGCTGGAGTTGGGATATTTTGCGGCACCCCCAGATCCCTGCGCTCGGAGGAGAAGCCAAGGGTCAAAAGGCTGGCTGTGCAGGTGGGGAACGGAGGACAGGAAGCTCGGAACCCCAGCTCCTGGAAAGCACCTCTAACTTGTGCCCTCTGCCTCACACCCTGGTGGATCCTGCCTCTGAGGCGCGTCGAGAAAGCAAGCCTTGCGTCCACCTGTTGCGTGTGACGGCTTCAGCATCCTCATCTATAAAATGGACCTAATAATTCTTTTTAAAGATTTATTTATTTATTTATTTGAACGAGTTACAGCAAGAGAGGGAGAGACAGAGATCCTCCATCCACTGGTCCACTCCCCAGAAGGCTGCAATGACCAGGGCTGGGCCAGGCTGAAGCCAGGAGCTTTCTCCAGGGCTCCCGTGTGGGTGCAGGGGCCCAAGCACTGGGGCCATCTTCCACGACTTTCCCAGGTGCATTAGCAGGGAGCTGGATCTGACGCCAGCTTTGCAGATGGTGGTTTACCCTGCTGTGCCGCAGCGTCAGCCCCTAATAACTCTAACCTGGTGCAGTTACTGCGGGCATTTAGGAGCATGACGCCTGTCGCCGGCATGACTGTCTTCTTGGTTCGCAGTCTGCCTCGCTGTTCCTGCTTCCTGCAGTCAGTCTTGCACCCCCCTCCTCCGCCACCGCCCCCCGGCCGCCTTGCAAGGGGAAGTGAGGCTGGAGGCAAGCTTGGGCCTGAGGAAGTTTCTAGGTGTGCAGAGTGAGGGTTTGCAAGTCAGCAAGAATGCACACATGGACTTTGATCCCTCCCAAGAGGAACCTGGGTAGGAGCAGACATGGGGCCTTCTCACCAGCTCAGCAGAAAATCATCGAGGCAGCCGATGATCCCTGAGACAAAACAAAAGCCAGCGAGAGTAGGAGCCCGCTGGGCAAGAGGGCAGGCAGAATGAATGTCCCTCCCCCTGCTCCCTGGGGGTCTGAGCTGGACGTTGTCTGGGACTCCGGACTCCAACCAGGGCGGTGTCTTTCTGCCTCTCTTTCGGATGTTAGTAGCTTCCTAGCTGGCCTAACAAAGTTCCACACAGAGGGTGGGCATTTGAAACAACGGTGATCTTACAACCTCCCAGTTCTGGAGCCTGAGAGTCCAGCCTTCATCAGAGAGCAGGCAGGGCTGCTTCCTGCTCAAGGCTGGGAGAGAGAATGTCTGTGCCCCACCCGGAGGGGGTCGCTGGCTGACTCTGGCCTCCCTCGGCTGGCAGATGCACCACCTGACTGTCACCCTCTTCGTAAGGGCACCTGCCTTCACGGGTTCCTCTCGTGTGGCCTCATCCTGAGTAACTGCACCTGCACAGACCCTATTGTCAAAAACGGCCGCGTTCTGCAGTGCTAGGAGCCAAGACTTCAGCATGAATTCAAGGGGAAGAAAGTCAAACCCAGCACAGGTGTTGCAGGAAAGCCTCACCCTCGCCCTGCTTAAGAACTTCTGTGCGTCCCAGCTACCTACAGAATAAAGGACGAAGCCTGATGAGTTGTCTTCGCCGCCCCTGCTGTGCGAACCTGACCGGCACCCTCCCCCACGCTGTAGCCCCCGCAGGCTGCAGCCCCTCCGGACAATGCCTTGTGGAAGCTCCTGTCCCGGTCTTCAGCAGGTGCCACTCGCACGCCTGGCAGTCCGGACTCCGCCCCTCCGTGCCGCCTGCCTCGCCCTCTGTCCCCTCTTGCGGGTCTGTCGGAAGACTTGTGGCACCTGGGAGGCAGCGTCCGTCCCGCGTCCTCCCCACCGAGCACGCACCCCGGGACTTTGCAAGGGCCCTTGCCCTGTGAGCTCCCCAACCAAGAGTGTTTCAGACTCAACAGCGCGCAAGCTGGGCTGGAGCCCCCAGAGCTGGGCTTCTCCTGCCCCCTGGAGGGCTGGACGCGACCTCGTAGGAACGGAGACCAGCAACACACCAAGGGAGACTCGTCTTTATTGCAGTTTTTCCGGGGGAACACAGAGAGGGCAGAGGCGGAGAACGCGGGGTCTTCGCCGGGCTCAGAGCACAGGCCGTCCACCGGGCGCGATGGCCGTGGCGGCCGGGGCCAGGCAGCGGCCTCCCGGGCAAGGACGCGGCGCCGGCTCCGCGCCTGCGCGGCGGCCCATGGTCAGAATGCCGGCCGCGTGGTTGCCGCTGGCCTGCAGGAGGCGCTGCAGCCGGCCCTGGAGTCCCGGGGGCCCGGGCCGCCGCTTGCCCAGCGTGAGGATACCGGCGGCGTGGTTGCCCGCGCCGTGCAGCAGCTCGTAGAGGCGACAGGAACAGGTCTTCTGGCGACAGCAGTCGGGCAGGGGCTGAGCGGCCGCCCCGGGCGACAGCAGCGCGGGCGGCAGCAGCAGCAGCAGCAGGAGTGTCACAGCGGTCCAGGAGACCTGCAGAGGCAGGACGGGGCGCTGGGGGTCCTGCCGGCGTGCCCGAAGCCAGCCCCCGCGCCCAGGCCCTGCGCGCTGGCCCCGCGCCCCTCCTGTCCTGCGCTTTGTCGCGCAGTTTTCCTGCCTGGACCCGCCTGTCTGAAGGACTCTGCCGGGGGGAAAGGCTCGTCTCTGGTTCCTTCGTCTGCTCATTCTTCAAGACCCAGCAGAGCACCTCCTCTGGGAAGCCCTTGGAGATCCCGGCCCCCCCTACCCCCCGCAGAAGGAATCCCGCTTTCTGGGTACCCCCGTGAGAGCTCGCACCTGTGCACCTGAAACCAGCGTCTGAGTCGGGAAAAGCAGAGGCCCCGTTTGGTCCCCACCGTTCACCCTTCTCACAGCTGGCAAACACAGAACACCAAACTCCATGGCTTCGGACCATTTCCCCACCCAGCTGGCTCACCTATAAACCTGGTATTGAGTAACCCCTACTAGGTGGCCTGCTGGCAGGATGAAATGAGATGACAGGTGGAAACAGCACCTGGCACACAGTAGGTGCTCAGTAAGCGTGGACCCAGGAGAACAGGGCATGACCCCGTGTGAACCAGGCAGGTCAGCTGCTGGGCGACTGCTGAGCCTCCTGTCTCAGAGTCCCCAGGAAAAAGAGACCCCCTTTGGCCTTCTCCAGCCCTCTGAGCGAGCACTCTTCTTGTCTCCCTATGTGATCAGTCCCCCTGGGTCCCTGGGTCGGTCTTTACCTTGGTGGAGGGAAGGTTCATGGTGTCTGGAGCTCAGGATGGGCAGCCAAGAAGAGAGGCGTCTGCAGTGGTCCAAACAGTGGGAACCGCGCGGCTGCTGACTGTGACCCGCTTCCAAGGGCCCCGGGGTTTATAAGGCTCTGTGGTGTGGGGGGGAGTGATGGGCACTCGCAAGCACGCAGGGCTGCCAGACAAAGGCAGGTCTAAGATTAGCCTGCGGTCTCCAGGCTGGGCTCAAGGAATGGCCGCCCAGGCGTTGGAAGGCTGGGGATGGGTCACCGTGGCCCTGGTCCTCTCCTTGTCCATCCGCCTGCTCCCTGGAGATGGGGCAGTCTCCCGGCACTAATGAGGCCGCCTTGCACCCAGGAATCTGAGAGCACAAAAGAGGCCTTGGCTGGGGCGCAGGTCCCCACCGATGTGGTGGTGGGGGCAGCTGCTAATTAGGAGACCCACCGGGCTGGTGTGTGGGGGAGGGGCTCCAGAGCCTGCCTTCTTCGCGAAAAGGTTCCCTGCCCCGCCTTCCCCTGCCCCAGCTCTCTCCTTCCCTCTGCTCCCTGGCAAGCCTTGAAACCCACCCCTGGGGGCTGGGGGAGAAAAGGAAGCCAGACTCGGTTTCTACCAGAAGCTCACAGAAAGCCGCCACCTGCCCAGTGTTCTGGACGGAGGGCGTGGCCCTTCCCCACCTTCCACAGGGAGGGGGCCACTTCCAGGCCAAAGCTTCTCAGAGCACTGCTGGCTTTTATTTTTATTTTTATTTGATTATTCATTTGAAAGGCAGACACAGAGAGATCTTCAACCCACTGGTTCATTCCCCAAATGCCTGCAACAGCCAGGACAGGGCCAGGCCAAAGCCAGGGGCCTGGAACACCATCCAGGTCTCCCACACGGGTGGCAGGGACCCAGCCACTAGAGCCATCACCCACTGCCTCCCAGGGTGCACAGCGGCTGGAAGCTGGACTCCACCCCAGGCCCTCTGATCTGAGATGTGGGTGCCCCAAGCGGTGAGTTAACTGCTACACCAGCGCTGGCCCCCTGGGGACTATTTGTTGCGCTCCTGCTCAGTGCCAGGCCCTGCGTGGGCACCGGAACGAGAGATGCGTAGGCCATGGCCCAGTTTCCAAAGAGCTCCCAAGTGCAGGTGGGGATCCGGGCACACAGACAGCTCAGTGTGGAAAAGCTGACCAGAGCTCTTCGGCCTGCAGTGGGCAGGGGCTCCTCAGGAGAGCTGGGGGGAGAAGGCATTCCACACAAGGACAGTGTGTGGGGGACGTGGTCTCCGGGCGTGGGGAGGAGAGAGGGCCAGGGCCCAAGGGTCTTAGAGGCCACGCTGATTGCCCTAAACCTGTGGGCAATGGGGAGCTGCCGTGGGCGGATTTTATCAGGAAGGGGCTGAATGGGTACAGAGCAGGGCCCTGGATGTGGGGACAGGGAGCAGAGACGCAGTCTGCAGGCAGAAGCGGAGACAGAACAGGAGCTGTGGACCCTGCTGGCATGGACACTCGGCCCAGAAGGTCTCTGGGGTTTCTCCCTGCTTGGAACATGAGGACATCCCCTACAGGGAACGGAGCAGTGCTGAGGTGGGGGGGAGGGGGAGCACGCTTGGGCTGGGCCGGCAGGAGGAGGCAACTATCTCCTGGGTGACCCAGGCTGCCGCACATCGTGGGGGAGCCCAGGGCTGAAAGGGGAATGGCCGGGCCAGGCTGCGGTGGGCACAGGGAGGGACCCCGACACAGTCGCCCCAAAGCAGACCCTGAGTCAAGAATCTGGGTGCCAGAGGTTTATTTGGAAGCACAATGGTGGTGGTGGGGGGCTGCGTTAATGTGCGCTCATGAGTGGGTCACGGCCATGGGCAGCTGAGGACCCCGAGAGACCGTGTGGGGGCCTCAGGAACAGTGACGCGGAGGTCTGTCTGCATCAGTCCCTGTTCCTTACCGGCTGAGGGTCGCCCCTGGGGCCTTTGACACGCCCCCCCCAGCACTCATGAGCGTGGCCGAACACTTTTCTGATGGGAGAGATGGGGAGCTCCTCCACAGTGGCCTCCACGTGGTCACAGGCTGGGGTCTGCTCTACGCCCGGAGCCTGCACCCCAGCACTGGCCAAGGACCCCCATCTGGAGAGACCCGAGGGGAGCCCAGCGGCGGGCGGGCCCTGGCTCAGGACACCACCCTCCTGTGCAGAAACTGGGCCAGGTGCTTGTGTCTAAGGACCCGGGGCATCTCAGGGGGGGCGCGGAGGGAGGGGCAGGCTCGGAGGGCTGCCCGCAGGGCTCTGAAGGCCCCCGTTCCCACCAGGTGGACCTGGGCGGGGCCCACGCTGCCCCGGAACCGCAGGGACTTGTAGTAGGGGGAGACTTCCTGGAGGCAGTGATCCAGCTGGGAACAGAGGGGCCTGTGTGAGGCGGCGGGGGGCGGTGAATGTGGCCCGGGCGCGCGCAGGACTCGTGCGTGTGCATGTGTGCGTGTGTGTGTGCCTGTGTGTGGGACTCTCCTCCCCGAACCCCAGGGCAAGCTCTGCCAGGCATCGTGCGCATGCGCAGAACGAAGCCCCCCCCCCCCCCCCCGACTCCCGCGGTCCGACCCAGTTCTGGCTTTTTACCTTGGCCCGATTTTCCTCGGACAGGTTCCTCAGTCCCCTGAGCTCCACGAACACCTCATAGTGGGGTGCAGAGCCCTCGGAGGAGTCTGTGGACAACAACCCCCCGACACACACTTGCTGTGAGTGAGGCGACTTCCTGGGCCAGGGCCCTCAGCCCACCTGCCCCTCCCAACGCTGAGCTCCGTGGTGGGGGGTGGGGTGAATGGAGCGGAGCCTGGAGCTCAGTCCCAAATAGGGCAGCGCTCAGGACAGCACACAGGCAGGCACTGCAGCAGGAGGCACGAAAATTAGACCTCAGGAGGGACCTGTGTCCCAGGCAGCCTTGGAGGCAGGGTCTCCTCCCCCGGAGGGTGGGTGTGGGCTGGGGGGTCGCTAACCCAAGGACTGAGCGGGAGCCCATGGAGATGCATACCCAGAATGCTGCTCTCCACACAGGCGTGGTCCACGAGCTTGGCCCCCTGCCATTGCCCCACGGCCCGGCCCAGGGCCTCCTGGAACACGTCCTCCCTGATATCCTCTCCTCGCACACTCAGGGCCTGGCCCAGCCTGGGCAGGAGGAAGGGGGAGGCAGTGGAACCAGGGCCCCAGGACGGCCCCCCGGCCCCCCAGGGGCGGCACCTACCTGCAGACGAACCTGACGACGGGACACTGATTGTAGGCCCCGACCACCCGTACCACGTCACCCAGGCGGCACCTGGTGGGGGCAGGTGGGGGTGAGCTCGTGCCCGCGGCCTCCCGCAGGGACCCATAGGTAGCAGGGGCTGGGCAGGTGGCCACCTGGTGAGGCTGGCGTGGTCAGTCAGCACCAGCTCGTACTCTTTGTCCTCCTGGGCCTCAGCCAGCAGGATGGTGCCGGCGGCCTCGTCCTCGGCTCCTTCCTTGACTGGGAGCAGCTCAACGAAGGGGGCTCCCGGGGGCAGGAGGTAGAGCCCGGGGGGCTGCTCTGGCCAGAGGTTCAGGCCCAGCACCCCTGCGGGGAGCAAAGCAGCCAACTCCAGACCACACCCTGCGCCTCTGGGAGCCCGAACCTCCGGCCGCCCTTCCAGCCCCAGGCTCAGCCCGCTGCCCCTCGGCCCGGCTGGGAAGGGGCTGTGAGCGCGGGGGTGTATCGGCCCTGCTGTGAGCCTCAGTTTCTCCATTTGTAAAAGGAGACTGGGGGTTGGGAGGATTCAGCAGGGCGGGCAGTGGTCCTGGCCTTCCACCCCTGCCCCACCCCCATTCCCGCCCCCCTGCCTGGGCACCCTGCTGACCTCCAGAGGCCGCATAGGCAGGAGAGAAGAAGGTGAGCCCCTGACACCACAGCGCCCTGAGGGCAGCCACGGCCTCCGCCTGGCCTCCTGCGTCCAGCGTCACCACCACCTGCAGCCGTGGCCACAGCCGGAGGGCCAGTCCCCGGGGGCCCTGCTCCAGCGCGGCGCGCAGCTCGCCTGCCCGGCCAGGCAGCGGGGCGCCCGCCTTCCCGGCAGCTGTGGCCGCAGCCAGCTCTTCGCCGTTGGCCTCCAGGCCCAAGAAGACGTCCAGGAGTTCGGTTGCCGTCCCGGCCTCCAGCGCCATCAGCCCTGGGGACCTCAGGGCCGCCAGCAGCAGGGCCTTGGGGTCCGTCACTCCGGGGGTGCTGAGCAGGCCCAAGGCGCGCCCAGGCCAGGGGAAGGGACTGGGCCACGGCGATGTGGGGGTCACACGGGCTGTGCTTCCCGGAGCCAGCACTCCTGGGAAGGCCTTGTTCAGAGCCCCCAGACCCAGCAGCGTGGCCTGGGGGAGAGAAGAGAGACTGTGGGGCCGGCCTCAGAGCCACCCCCTGTGTCCTCCCTTTTGGGGGGGCCTCTGGGCTGGGGCTCTGGTCAGCCGGGTTTACCTGCAGCGAGGTCCCGCCACAGTAAGGGCCTTGGGGAGGGGACAGGAGCGGCCCCCCACATTCTTCCTGGGCCTGGCTGGCCTTGGTCAGAGGGAGAAGATTCCGGAAGGTGCTCACATCTGCAGCCCCAAAGACACCAGAAACTGCTCAAGAAGCCTCAGTTTCCCAAGAGCGGCAGGTGAGACTGGGGAGACCCCTGCGGGCAAAACCGGGAGCAGCCCTGGCAGTGGGGAGGGGACTCTGGCCAGGTGGGGAAGGTTCTAATTGAAGCCGCGAGCCAGGTCTGGGCCTGGCGGGGAGTCCGGGTCAGGGCAGTGGGGCTGGGAGAAAGGGGCTCCCAGGTCTGGGAGCTGACTGTCCTGCACACTTTCTCTTGGGGAGCCCTCCCCAGACCCCGGAAACACACCTGTGCTCCCCCTGAGGGGGCCGCGGGGACCCTGGTCTCCCTGCAGACACCACGCCAGGGCCTGCTGCTGGCTCTGGCCCACGTGCAGTGTGCTCTGGTCCAGTTTCCACTGCTGCCAGGCAGCTGCCCAGCCCAGGACGCCCCTGGCCACATGGTGCTGGAGGCCAGCAAGCCAGGACAGCCTGGCATCCCAGGAGCCCGGCTGCCCCAGTGTGGCCGGTGGCGGCCGCAGCAGTAGCAGCAGCAGCAGCAGCAGGGACAGGGGCAGCAGGAGGAAAAGCAGGGGCCCCGGCAGCATCTCCGAGCAGTTCCTGGGGGGAGGAGGCAGCCTGAGCGGGATGGGGGGCTGCCTACACTCCCCTCCCCCGCCCCCGCTGCCACCTTGCTCTACTGTGCACAGGGAGGCCCCGGAGAAGCGAAGACCTTGTCGGGCAGGCGAGGCAGGGGAGAGACCACTGAGGCTTTGGAGGCCCACTGACCCGAGTTCAGATCCTGCCTCTGCCGCTCGCTAGCCGGGCAAACGAGCCGGTCGCTCTGAGTTCCGTGTCCTCATCTGTAAAACAGGAGCCCTAATTCCTCTCCCAGGAGGTACAGAAACTGCCTCGCACAGGCCTGGCACAAAGTGGCCGCTGGGCGAGTGACATTGCACCGACTGACCGCGTTCCCTCGGGACCCTCCCTGTCTATCCTGGCTCTGAGTCCCTCCTGAGCCCTGGGCAGTGGGTTTGTCCCGCCTGCACCTGTCACTGCCCACTTCTGCCTACGCTTAGTTCCCAGGGCCCCTCAGAGCCTCCGAGCTCAGGGCTCAGGACACATCCGGCCAGAAAGATGGAGCCGGGCTGGGCCCTGATGGGGAAATCCGGCCTCCCCCGCCCGAGGGAGGAGCTATGGGGGGTGCTCTTAAAGGGGCAGGTCACCCAGGAGTTCGGTGCTGGCCCAGCCAGCCAGATGGCGGAGTTGGGGCCAGATCCTCAAACCCAGGCAGGTGGAGAAGAGGCTAGTGCGGAAGAGCGCCCTGACATGGCTGGAGCCAGGTGTGGGCTGTCCTCCCTCCCAGAGCAGGTGCGAGCTTGAGAACTGGAAAAAACCAAACTCTGCGAACCTACGAACCCTCGAACCCTCGCAACAAAGGAGGTAGCAGAAAGAAACCCCTTATTGAATAGTGTTAAACCAGAGGGCGGGGCCGACGTTTGGCGCGGCGGTGGAGGGCCAGCTGGGACACCTGCGCCCCATGTCTGAGTGCCTGAGTTTGAGTCCCTGCCCTGCTTCTGATTCAGCTTCCTGCTAGTGGACACCTTAGAGCCAGCAGTCCTGGATCGGGTTCCAGGCTCCTGGCTTTAGCCTGACCCAGCCCTGGCTGTTGCAGGCATTTGGGGAGACAGCCCGTGGGGAGGGGAGGGCCAAGGTCTCTGTCTCTTTGCCTTTCAGGTAAATAACAAGTAATTAATTAAAAACAAACAAACGTCCTGTCTGCTCAGCAGCAGAGGCTGTGCCCAGCCTGACAGCACAGCCTTTCCAGCCTTCTCCGAGGAAGACCCCTGGGGGGGGGGAGCACCTCTGCCAGTGCCAGGTGGGCCCCCAGTCTGATCGCACTGAGTCCTGAAACCTTGGGAGGATTTTTACCTAATTCACTCTTTGTCCAGGAGAAGAGCTGGGAGGAAGAGACGCAGAACTGGAGCCCGGTCCCTTTAAGCCCCAATCTGAATACAGACTGCACATACCACCTGGCCTGCGGGGTGTATTCTCTCCCTTAAACCTGGCGACCTTGCTTTCTGCAGCCTGATGAGTGGGCGTGCTCTCTCAGATTCTGTGTGGACAGGAGCCCGTCCGTTCTGATGGATGCCCTACGCCGTGAAACGCTGCTACTTTGCCTCTGTCTCCCGTGTGAATTTTCTTGCACTCATTTCCACTCACAAGGAGACACCTGTGTTAGTCTAGTGGCTCTCTCTGTGGGAACAGGTGGTTCTGCAGCTGGGAGCAGGGCAGCCCCCAGAGCCAGGCGCCCACCCCCACCCCAGCCAGGAACTGCAGAGCTGCGCTGTAGGGTGAGAGTCGCTGCCCCCGACCCCCCTGGGCTGCCCTCTCCTTGCGCTCTTGACTTAGGCACCGGAAACGGGAGGCCTCCCATCCCCCCTCACAACCTCCCCACCTCCCCACCTCTCTTCTCTTCCCAGCTGCTGCTGCTTTTTAAACTTGAAAGGAGAAAGAGACAGAGAGACAGCTCCCATCCGCTGGTTCCCTCCCCAGATCCCACTGAAACCTGGAGCCAGAAACTCCCTTTGGGTCTCTCATGTGGGTGGCAGGGACCCAACCACCAGAGCCTCCCAGGGTCTGCATTAGCAGGAAGCCGGAGCCAGAGCTGAGCCTCAGAGCCAGGCGCTCCAGTCTGAAACGCAGGCTCTCAAGCGCGTCCTGACGGCGCTCCCATATGCCGCTTGGAAAGTGATTTTAAGTGCATTTTTCCTAAGCTTTTGAAGCACCCTGTATGATGCTGTTATGGAAATGTGCATGTAAGCTTTCATGGGTGCAAGCTTTCATTTTCCTTGTGTAGATATCTCGGAGTGGAATGGCCAGGTCATAAAGTCACTCTGTTTAACCCTTGAAGGACAGCCAAACTGGTGTCCGCAAGTGGCTATACCACTTTCTTTCCTTTTCTTTTTTTTTTTCTTTTTGACAGGCAGAGTGGACAGTGAGAGAGAGAGACAGAGAGAAAGGTCTTCCTTTGCCGTTGGTTCACCCTCCAATGGCCGCCGCGGCCGGCGCACTGTGGCTGGCGCACCACACTGATCTGAAGGCAGGAGCCAGGTACTTCTCCTGGTCTCCCATGGGGTGCAGGGCCCAAGTACTTGGGCCATCCTCCACTGTACTCCCTGGCCACAGCAGAGAGCTGGCCTGGAAGAGGAGCAACTGGGACAGAATCCGGCGCCCCAACCGTGACTAGAACCCGGTGTGCCGGCGCCGCAAGACGGAGGATTAGCCTAGTGAGCCGCGGCGCCGGCCTTGTACCACTTTCCATCCCCATCGGCAGCAGAGGCTCTGAGCTCCCCAGGTCTTATCTGACCTCTGGGTCACAGCCAGCCTAGAGGGCGTGCTGTCTCCTTCTGGGTTTAATTTGCAGTCCCCCATGGCTGCAGCTTTTCATGCGTTGACTGGCATTTGCCTACCTTTGGAGAAATGTTTATTCATATCCTTTACTCATTTTAACTGGGCTATTTTTTTATTAAGTTGTAATCTTTTTTTAATTATTTATTTGAAAGGCAGAGTTACAGAGTGGCAAAGGCAGAGACAGAGAGAGACAGAGAGAGAGGTCTTCTATCTGCTGGGCTGATCCAAAGCCAAGAGCCAGGAGTTTCTTCTGGGTCTCCCACATGGGTGCAGGGGCCCAAGGCCTTGGGCCATATTCTACTGCTTTCCCAGGCCATAGTAGAGAGCTGGATCGAAAGAGAAGCAGCTGGGACTAAAACCAGTGCCCATAAGGGATTCTGGCACCGCAGGTGGCAGCTTTACCCACTATGCCACAGGGTGGCCCCCTAAGCATTCTTTTTAAATATTTATTTATTTGAAAGTAAGTTACAGACAGGGAGAGGGGAGAGAGACACACACAGAGAGAGGGAGAGAATCTTCTATCTGCTGGTTCACTCCCCAAATGGCTGTAATGGCCCAGGCCAAAGCCACCCGGGTCTCCTATGTGGGTGCAGGGCCCAAGCGCCTGGGCCATTTTCTGCTGCTTTCCCAGGTGCATTGTCAGGGAGCTGGATCAGAAGTGAGCAGCCAGGACTTGAATGGCCATCCATAGGGGATGCCGGTTTCATAGGCGGAGCTTAACTTGTGACGCAATACAAGAAACATTCTTTATCTATTTACATACAATCCCCCTAGTTTACCTATGATTTACAATATTTTCTCTCATGCTGTGGGTTCTCTTTATAGTGTCCAGGCTGAAGCCAGGAACCTAGAACTCCATCAGATACAGGCGGCAGGGGCCCATGTACTTGACCATCATCTGCTACTTCTCAGGGTGAGTGTTAGCAGGAAGCTGGAGCAGAAGTGGAGGAGCTGGGACTCAAACCAGGCACTCAGGTAAGGATGTGAGCAAACATCCATCCTCGAAGCACCAGATTTATTTTTTTAACAGGCAGAGTGGACAGTGAGAGAGAGACAGACAGAAAGGTCTTCCTTTACCGTTGGTTCACCCTCCAATGGCCGCTGCGGCCAGCCCACTGCGCTGATCTGATGGCAGGAGCTAGGTGCTTCTCCTGGTCTCCCAGGGGGTGCAGGGCCCAAGCACCTGGGCCATCCTCCACTGCACTCCCGGGCCACAGCAGAGAGCTGGCCTGGAAGAGGGGCAACTGGGACAGAATCCGGCGCCCCGACCGGGACTAGAACCCGGTGTGCCGGCGCCGCAAGGTGGAGGATTAGCCTAGTGAGCCACGGCGCTGGCCAGAAGCACCAGATTTTTAAATGTGATGAAGCTGACGCTTGTATCCTAGAATCAGGACCAGCATCCTCACCACCTCTGTTCTGCTTCTTTGCTCATTCCTGATCCCAAGGGGAAAGCACAACAAAGCAGGGGGTTTTTGCATCCATTGAAATGATCATATGGTTTTTGTTTGTCATCATATTGATTTGGTAGTAACAGGTCTTCATATGTGAAAAAGCACCCCTGGGGTAAACCCATCCTGGTCAGGGTATATGCGAGTCCTTTTATATGTGGCTGGATTTAGTTTGCTAGTATTGGTTGATAGTTTTTGGTCAATTTTTTTTCTTTCAAGATTTATTTATTTAAAAGGCAGAATTAAAGAAAGAGAGAGAGAAAAAGAGAAAAATCTTCTGTCTGCTGGTTCACTCCCCAAATGGCTGCAATAGGTAGGGCTGAACCAGGCTGAAGCCAGGAGGCAGGAGCTCCCTCCAGATCTCCCCGTGGGTGCAGGGGCCCAAGCACTTGGGTCATCGTCTGCTGCTTTCCCAGGCACAGCAGCAGAGAGCTGGATTGGAAGTGGAGCAGCTGGACTCAAACAGGAGCTCCCACATGGGATGCCAGCGTCATAAGTGGCGGCTAAACCTGCTTCGCCGTAGCACCAGCCCCTCTGTAAGTGGGGTATTGAAGTCTCTAAATATTACTGCATTTTATATTTCTTCCTCCAAATGTCAGCTTTTTTTCATGTATTGTGGGGTTCTGCTACTAATGTATCTAATTGTTCTCCCTGAATTGATAGCTTCGTCATTATAATGTGTCTCTGTATCTCGTAGCTATTTGTTTTAAAATGTATTTTGTCTGATACTGGACTAGCCACTCCATCTGTCTTGAGGTTGCTGTTTGGGTGACACATATTTTTCCATCCTTTTATCTTCAATCTATTTGTGTCTTTGAATCTAACTTGTATCTGCTGTAGAAAGCCTTTAGTTGGATCTTCTTTCTTTTTTTGTTAAGTTTTTTAAAGTTCATTTGTTTATTTTTACTTATTTCAAAGTCCGAGCGAGAGCGAGAGTGAACAAGAAATCCCCCTTGTGCCTATGCCCAGGACAGCCAGGGCTGGGCCAGGCTGAAGCCAAGAGCAGGGACCCAAGGACTTGAACTATCGCCCGCTGCCCCCAGAGTGGGCAACAGCAGGAAGCTGGGTAGGAATCAGAGCTGGGGCTCAAATGCGGGGACACGGGCTCCCCAGGTGGCAGCTTAACCCACTGTACCACACTGCCTACTCTCTCTCTCTCTTTTAAGATTTACTTACTTGAAAGGCAGAGTTAGAAAGAGAGCAGGCGAGAGAGCACTAGCTTGCATCTGTTGGCTCATTCCCCACATGGCAGCAATGACTGGGGCTGGGTGAGGCTGAAGGCAGGAACCAGAACGCCATCTGGGTCTCGCATGTGAATGGCATGGACCTGACCACTTTGAGCCATCATCTACGGCCTCCCAGGGTGTGCGTTAGGTAACTTGATTGGAAGGATAGGCGAGACTGTAGCCAGGCACTCTGCCGCTATGTGTGTGTGTCCCAGGTGCTGCTTAACCCACAGTGCCATTAACACCTGCTCCTTTCTCCTCTTCTTCTAATTCTCTCCTTTTTAAAAGGATTTATTTATTTATTTGAAAGGCAGATTTACAGAGAGGCAGAGAGGAGAGAGAGAGAGGTCTGCCATTTGCTGGTTCACTCCCCAAATGGCAGCAACGGCCAGAGCTGTGCCAATCCGAAGCCAGGAGCTTCTTTTGGATCTCCCACGCGGGTGCAGGGGTCCAAGGACTTGGGCCATCTCCTACTGCTTTCCCAGGCCACAGCAGAGAGTTGGATCGGAAGCGGAGCAGCCAAACCGGCGCCCATATGGGATGCTGACACTACAGGCGACAGCTTTACCTGCTATGCCACAGCGCTGGCCCCTCCTTTTTTCTTCTTTCTTTTCAAATAAATGAAAATAATTTTTTAAAGTAGAGAGACACAGAGAAGATCTTCCATTTACGGTTTATTCCCCAAACGCCTGCAACGGTCACGGCTGGGCCAGGCTGAAGTTGCGAGCCCAGAACGCAATCCAAGTCTCTCACTTGGTGGCAGGAACCAAGTCCTTGAGGCATCAGCTGCTGCTTCCCGGTGCTCCTCAGCAGGAAGCTGGAGCTGGAAGTGGAGCCCAGCCTCAACCCCAGGGCTCTGCCGCAGGATGCACGTGTTCAGGCGGCACCGCTGGAGGAGCGTGGGGAGGCTGGGAGATGACGTGACGCGGGCAGGGAGGCGAGACGTGCCCTCGCTGCCCTTGAACCTGCGGCTCCCACCAGGTCCCTTCGCATGCAGGGCTGGGGAACCTCTTGTCTGCTGAGGGCCACTTGGATATTCACACAGAACGTCAGTTTAGAAATCAGCCTGCCAGACTGACCGGGTCCGAGCGCCCCCTGCGGTTGCCCTGGCGGGGTCTCTCCGGCCTGCGGGCTGGACGTTCCCCGCACGGCTTCCCAGGGTCGCCCTGAGGACCTGAAGCCACCCTCCTTTGCCAAGTGATGGGGAAAAAACACAAACGAGACTCCACGCTGTCCCTTCAGAGGAAGCCTTTATTGTAAGGTAAAATACACGGCTTTGTGACTGCCCCAAATTGTACACAATACTTTTTTGGTGGCTATATAATCTGCCTCCACGCTAAAATAGGAATCTGAAATCATTTCACAAAGTTTAAAAAGAAAAATTATAAAAAGTATACTTTCATTTTAAGTTAGGTTTGCGTCGTCTCCCCCACCCCCTGCGAAAGCCCGGGTGTAGGGGCGCGAGGGGGGCGCGGCGTCCGGCCGGGCCGCCTCTCCTGTGGCTGCAGACGCAGGGGAAGAGAGAAACAGAAGGCAGACAGCAAGCGCGCCTTTCGGTCAGAACTCTCCCTCCAGGCCCAGCCTCGGCACCGCGAGGCTGGTCAGCACCTGTGTGAGCCCCGCACCGGCGCCCACTGCAGGGCAGCGTCCAAGTGTGTGAGGCTGGGCACAGAGGCCGCCCCTCCAGGGGCAGCGCGGGGCTCCTCCCTGTCACCTTTCCCCGGCTCGCCCAGCCTGGGCACAGCCGGCACCGGGGGAGGGGTCAGCCCGCTCCTCAGAGGCCGACATCTACTGCCTGGCGTAGAAAAATAACTCCGAGTGCGAACCCAAGCCAAGGCAGACAGCAGCTTTAAAAAAGTCATCTTCCAATAAATAGTTTCTACGGAGGAATATTTTCCTTTAACAGCAAAACACTGATAAATTCAGAAGTACTTTTGTAAAAAAAAAATATCTGTCTATTTCTCACATGTATAAAAATAAGGATTTTAGGGCCATCCTCTCTCGAGGGGTCAGGCTCATCTCGCGGAGGGGGAGCTCCGGGACCTCGGGCCGTACTCAAAGTTGCACCTCTCTCCCCTCCCCACCTGCTGCCACGGGCCAGTCCTCCCTTCGGGTTTCACGCCTCGGAAGAAGCCTAGAGCACAAGGATGCGGAGGCTTTTTTTTTGGGGGGGGGGCTTCGTTTTCATAGTTTGCCAGCAAATCCGCTGACTGCACTTTCCCAACTTTCCAAGGCCCGACACCCGGAGCCCCGCAGTGGGGCAGCACCCGCTCTCCAGGCTGGGCCCAGGGTCAGGCCCGTCCCGCCACCTGCTCCTTGAGACACGGTGTGTGGACAGTGAAGTGAGCTGACCTGGGCAAGAGGTCAATCCTGTGGCGAGAGGGAGGACCTTGCTGCCCAGTTAGGGTGGGGAGGGGAGAGCTGCAAAGACCCAATTTAGAAACAGAAACGCTATTCAGCATTTACCAAAGGCATCACCACTAAGCCTTAAGAAAGCTTCGGAGGGGCGGGCTGACCAGAAGGGTGGCTGCCCCGGGAGGCAGGACATGGCGGCATCGGCTCTGTTACGCGACCCTCTCCTTCCTCTGTTTTATCCACGTCTGCGCGTGTGGACACACACAGGAACTGAGTGGCTTTCCAGAGACAGAGACAGAGAGCGACAGAGAGGAGGGGAGGCAGGAGGGGAAGCGAGGACCCTTGCGCCGCCCCCCCTCCCCAACACCGGGGCTGGGGAGGCAGCGAGCGAGCGCAGGCAGCCAGCAGCGAGGACCAGGACGGAGGACCCGCGGAGCAGAGGCGCCCTCTCCCGCCGTCTCCCTGCACAGAGCTCAGGCACCGTAAGACGCGGCCAGGTTCCAGTCACGGAGCGGACTGGCGAGAACAAGCACGGGCTCCGAGGCGCACGCATGCACTCACTCACGCGCCTGGCACTGGTGCCACGTGCACGGAAACACCAAGTCACAACGAGGACGGACACTTCACATTATGAGTATTGTTTCCAAAGAGAAGCGATTCATGGAATTACAACATCCACAAGAGGGCCTCCTCTGGTGAGGACGACGGCTGTGGCGCGAGGGTGGGCGGGTCACGACTGGGCGTGGGGGATCCACTGACTGTCCATGGGGCGGCCCAGGAGCTCCTCCACGCGGCGCGCCACGTCCATCGTGTCTTCCAGGTCGAAGTCCCCATCGGTGTCAAGGACGGAGTCAGGGCTGGGAAGGGAAAGAAAAGGATGGGGGAGGGGAGGGCCCTCGGAGAGCACTGGGGCCACAGGCCCCCCCAGGCCAGTGGCCGCTGGCCTAGGACCTGAGCACGACGGAGGGGCCTTTGTACACAGACCCAGACCACAACACCCGCCCCGCTGCCTGGCGCCTGGAGACCCAGCCCGCTCTTCACTCCTCCACGTGCCCTGCACCCCACAACTACTCCTGCTTTCTGTTCACATTGCTTCTACCCAGGCCTGAGCTGGGCACCCCAGCCTAGAGGAGCTCAGGGCTCCTCTGCCTACTGGCCCTGGGCTCCGACCTGAGGCCCGTCCCCAGCCCCTCCCTGCGGCCCCCACGAGAACCCAACCTACTTCTGTGGGTACATGTTGTAGTGCGTCTGGGGACACACAGCCGGGGACGGGGCCTGGTCCATGTAGGTGGCGCTGGCCCCCCCCTCTCCAGACGCGTTGGCAAACCTGCGGGAGAAGCAGAGCTCAGCTGCTGGGCAGCCCCCGGGCTGACCCAGGGGAAGGGGCCCGGGGGGCAAACGGACGCCTTTTCCAGGGTGCAGCAGGACCGAGCGCCCACTGCCCTGGGGCTCTGGCTGCAGGAGAGGGCCCGGGCGCTGGCCACAGCATGACCCGAGTCCAGCCTTACCCCAGGGGCTGAGCCAGGTCTGTGGCGGAAGGGGAGGGGTGGGGGCACCCGGGCAGGGGGAGAGGAAGCAGGAGACCCCGAGTGGACACTGGACACTTACTCAGGGACCACTTGCTTGATCTGCGGCTTCACGTACCCGTCCACCGCCTTAGCTGCCGGGGAGAAGGATAAACACGCAAGCTCCCTTAAGACCGAGTTCTGTGTAGGCCAGGACACAGCCACCCGATTGTCACCACCAGACACCTGTCCTACCATCTCAGGCCCGACACCAGCAACTGACGTTTCCACCTGTGAGGAGGACCTGGTGGAGGGAGATGCTCTACACGGAACTGGGAGCCCCGCTCTCTCCAGGCTGGCTTGGGTGTTCTAGTAAGTTCTTCAGTCCATGGTAAACACAGACTCTAATACAAATACCAGTCAAGCACTAACTAAGAGAGCGATGTCTTAGCTGTGCAGAGCAGAGGGACAGGTCTTGCTGTGTCCCAGGGAGGACGAGGAGGACAGATTTCCTTCCAGTCGCGTCAGGAAGAACCTTTTCATCACGGGAACTGCCCGCGATAGCATGGGCCGCCCAGGAAGCCCTCCCCCACCCATGGGTGCCCAGTGGCAGGGGTCCTACCAGAAAGCCTGTGCGCTGGAGAGGCGCTGGCTAGGCTGCGTGCCCCCAAGGCGACCCCCTGGGCCGAGGCTTTCAGGGAAGGCTCCTCCGTGCCCGGGTCCCGCAGCAGCCACCCGATCATCCCAGCCTGGCTCAGAAGAGCGCTGCAGCACCCCCCGGGGCCACGAGAGGCAGGGGGGAGCCTGAGTGAGCAGTCGGCCGGCCGCAGTCAGCCGCCATGGCCGGCTGAAAGGCTGACTCCAGAAATCCCGCTGAGCCGGCACTAAGAGTGTGAGCGTGTGATGTGGGTGAGCGGGGTACGGGATGCGGGGAACTCTGTCGGGGCAGGAAGGGCACCAGGATGAAGAGCGGACAGCAGCACAGAGGGCCACGGTCGCCTGCCGTCTGCCCCGTGTCAGGAGCCGCCTCTTCCTACCACTGCAGGTGTTCTGTGCGTTACAGTCCACGGAGGCCTTACAGAGAAAGCCTGCAAGTAACAGGAGTCTAAAGGCCAGGTTAGCTGTGCTAATAAAGGGGTGGTGATGAGGAGGATCTAAAATATCACATAAATCTTCACATATTTGGGCTTATTTCTCCACCTTCAAATACAACAACCATCATCTCAGCGTGAGAAGGCACAATGCAAAAGACAGAATCAATAAAGGAAGACGCTGACAGACTGGGCACTTAGGGAGTTTTACATTTTACACTTCAGCGAAACAAAACGTGAAAGAACAGTAACACGTGGGCAGAGACAGCAGCTATATGGAGTAAAGGAGGGCTACATCTACTGTATGAGAAACACTTCAGAGAAAAAAAGTAACTCCAAAAGAACAACTAGCAAGGGATGTGAACATGTACTTCACAGGAAAAACACAAAGAGCCTCTCGTGTGGGGCTGGAAAGGAAGCCCTGAAGCTAGACTGAGCTCAAACCCTGGCTTGGCCACTTCCTAGCTGTGTGACCTTTGAAAAATTATTTTAGCTCTCTGTGCCTGTTTCCTTATCTGTAAAATGGGGATAATAACAGTACCTACCGAACAGAGCTGTGCTGAGGATCAAGTGAGATATGATACGAAGTACTCAGAAAAATACCCGGCACACAGTAAGCATTCAACAAATGTTAGCTGCTCTATTGTTTTGTTATTCTATTTATTATTTTTATTTTTATTTTTTTTTGACAGGCAGAGTGGACAGTGAGAGAGAGACAGGGAGAAAGGTCTTCCTTTGCCGTTGGTTCACCCTCCAATGGCTGCCGCGGCCGGCGCACTGCGCTGATCCGATGGCAGGAGCCAGGAGCCAGGTGTTTCTCCTGGTCTCCCATGGGGTGCAGGGCCCAAGCACTTGGGCCATCCTCCACTGCACTCCCTGGCCACAGCAGAGAGCTGGCCTGGAAGAGGGGTAACCGGGACAGAATCCGGCGCCCCAACCGGGACTAGAACCCGGTGTGCCGGCGCCGCAAGGTGGAGGATTAGCCTAGTGAGCCGCGGCGCCGGCCTGTTCTATTTATTATTAATCATCATGAGAGAAGATGTTCTCTAGAGTCAATGAAAGCAAGACCAGGAAGATGCCATTTTCATGCCAACAGACTGGCAGACATGAGACAACACTGGGGCACGCGGCTGCCCGGCAGACACCTGGGGGAGTGCAAGTGGATTCCGCTTTCCAGAGGGCAATTCTGCGAAGACTCTCAGATACCTAAAAAGTAGACTTGGGGCCTGAGTGCTTGGGCCCTTGCCACCCATGTGAGAGACAGGGATAAAGTTCCTGGCTCCTGGCTTTGGCCTGGCCCAACCAGGGCAGTTGTGGCCATTTGGGGGAGTAAACCAGTGGATGGAAGATCTCTCTAACTTTGCTTTTCAAATAAATAAACCTTAAAAAAAGTACAGACCCCTTCACATAAATCCTGCTTCAGGAATCTGTCCTAAGGACATAGCTAAACAAGATGAATATGCCAGTTATCACAACAAGAAAATCTGAGTAACTTAAATTGTAAATATCTAAAATAACCAACAAGGAATAATAATACATCCCAGAGTCACTAAACAATGAGATTCTACACAGTCACCGAAATGATGTTGGAAGACTGCGTTTACTGACCCTTACCTCTGCCTAGGATGGATTCACACATAGACACAGTGAGAGTCACAGAGAAAGAGGGAGAGACAGACAGAGTGGGATCTTCCATCCGCTGGTTCACTCCCAGATGGCCGCAACAGCCAGGACTGGGCCAAGCTGAAGCCAGGAGCTTCTTCCAAGTCTCCCATGTGGGAAGCAGGGTCCCAAGCACTTGAGCTATCTTCTGCTGATTTTCCCAGGCCATTAGTAGCAGGGAGCTGGATCGGAAGTGGAGCAGCAGGGACATGAACCAGTGCCCATATGGGATGACAGCATTGTAGGCAGTGGCTTTAACTGCTACACCACAATGCTGGCCTGCCGAGGATATATTTTAACACAAAGAGACGAGACCAAGTCACGAAGATGCTGCATGGTAACTCAATCCCAAATCTACCTTGAACTCCAAGACCCAAAATGCCCTGCTCTGGCCCCTGTCACTTTCTTCCTCCCAGGCGCTCACATGGGTTTTCACACCCCCCACTCCTCGCCCACAGCCAAGAGTTTTTGTATTTGCTCTCAGCCAGACGTCTCTTCTCTAGTCTGTATGGCCGGCTTCCTCACATCCAGGCTGTTCAAATTTTGCCTCCTTTAAGAAACTTTCCCCGGAACTTCTCTATCCTTTGCTTTGCTTTATTTTTGTTCAGAGCACCCACTACTAAATCCGCATTTGTTGACTTTCCACTCCTGGAGTGCAGCCTGTACACAGGAAGTGCTCGCTAAGTGCTGGCGGCGGACGCGGGAGAACGCGCCTCGCAGAGAGGAGGCGCAGTCCCTGAAGTGTTCAGAGCGGAGCTCCAGATGAAAGGCCGCGTGCTGGGTCTTCTTTTTTATGCTTTTATGTGTTCTCTGAAGATTTGACAAGAAATACATAACACTTCTAGGCTCAGCAGACAGTAAAACCAGCTCTGTCTTGAAAAACTAAATTTTACCTTCCTAATTTCATTTGATCTAAGCTTGTATTGAAAGTAGCTTTTTGGGGCCAGCTCTGTGGCATAGTGGGTAAAGCTGCTGCCTGCAGTGCCGGCATCCCATATGGGCACCGGTTCGAGTCTCAGCTGCTCCACCTCCGATCCAGCTCTCTGCTATGGCCTGGGAAAGCAGTGGAAGATGGCCCAAGTGCTTGACCCCTTACATGGTGTGGGAGACTTGGAAGAAGCTCCTGGCTCCTCGGCTGTTGCAGACATTTTGGGAGTGAACCAGCAGATGGAAGACCTTTCTCTCTCTGCCTCTTCCTCTCTGTAACTCTACCTTTCAAATAATACATAAATAAATAAATCTTTAAAAAAAGGTAACAAGTTCCCTTTGATTTGGTATTTAGGATTGGTGACAGACTTGTTTCCTGGGTGACTGAAGAACACAGCCCAGGGTTGACAGCTGTCCTGGATAAGGCTCACTCAGCAGTGACTGAAGGCTAGTAGACTAGTGTGGGGGCTTCCATGTAAGAGAAAGACACACACACACACACACACACACTCACAACAAAGTCAGATCAGAATGTGAACATCATTACCGGTGGCAGGCTCACAGGGAACGGGCGTGTAATACTTGGAGTACACTTCGTCTTTTGGCCGATCAGGAAACACATATATAAGGTAATTCAAGTCCCCCAAGCGGTCAGCCAGGGACCGGATGGAGAAGTCTCTGGTAGTAAATGGCATCAGATTCCAAAACATTCTTTCCTCTAGACCAAAACAGAACAGTCACACTTTACGTGTGGATTCTGAACAGGAAATCTTAAAACCCAAACACAATTCCAGTTCAAGCTTTCCATTAAAATGGTTCCACCAGAAATCTCCATTTTAAAATAACCACAGGTTGTCGTTTTTAAGTCCCCAGTAAATAAGCAGGTAACAGACACATCACTTCCTTCGAGAGCCAGTGGTCTCGGGCTATTTTAAGTCCAGACACTATCTTGTCATTCTCTGGAAGAAACCATTCTTAGGTCCCCCAATCCCAGCTTCTCTGTACACAGGCGTATCAGGGAGCTGCGTGACAAGCTCACAGCCAGGGGAAGGTTAGGAGCAATCCAGCCTCGTGGTCACGAAAGACAAGCCAGCAAGCCACTCTCCTGAGGGTCAGGAAGCCACTAACATTCTTGGGTGGAAATGGTCAATGCTGATACCCTTATGCCAATGAGGATAGAGGAATAATTCAAATTACATATCCTCACTACTCTAAAGACCCAGATCATCGAAGCACTTCTTTGCTAAAATAAGCTCCAGGTTGCATAACAATAAGGCTCATATTTCAAAAGGGAAGCAGCTGAGATTCTGCCTAGATTGCCACTGTATTGCAGGCAGCCATGTCCTGGACAGACTTTCCTGCTTGCCCAAATCAGCAACTGTGTTCCCATGACACTCTTCACAGGCTGCTGCACCGCGGCCTGGCTCCCCGAAATACTGAAAGCTCAACAAAGCGTCTATTTTGCAGTAAGAGCAGATACAGTTGACTTTGGGCATAAAGCTCTTGAAAAAGGGAGAGGCACTCACGAGAATCAAACTTCCAAGCAATGGTGATGCCACCGATTTCCGAGTCGCTGAATCTCAGGAGGAAGGTCCCATCTGGCTTGTTGATGAGTAAGTCATGGGCCTGTTGCTTGTTCACAAAACCCAGAATCGCCCTGGATCACAAAGAGCAAAGGAGCAGAAGCAGAGTATAGGAATGCCGAGAAGAAGGCTCTCCCATGGTGCTGACTTAGGAAATGATGATTCTCACCCATCGTTCCAATGAGGCTTGAGATGCTTTTTCAACACTTCCATCACCCCGTCAAACCACTGCCAGAAGGTGTAATTTCGTCCTGGCAAGTTCTCCTGCGTGGAGATACAATAATGAACACAAGGAAGCAAGAGTAACACTTGGAATATGGCCCACGAGTGCATATACTTTAACTAGGAAAACCAAATGGAGAACACGCGTTGGGACATCAGGAGCCCCCAAATGGTCTGCCTGCCTGAGTTTTACCAAATGGCCAGAAAATGGAAGACATGAAAGGAGGGAAGAAAAAAATACCAAGGTTCCACTGCCAGCACCGAGTGGACCCTGCTACCACCAGTTCCACCTGGATCGATACCAACCAGTCCTGGCCCACCAGCGGCCTCCTGTCACCTGGGAATGTCTGAAATGCAGTTTCAAGCCCCAGCTCAGATCTGCCGACTCACAGCCTGCATCTGAACAGCATGCCCGGCTGATGCATAAATTTAGACCATGCTGTCGCAAGGCTGCAGAGGCCCCATCACACAGAGGTTCCCCACGGTTATCAGCAAGTTGCTGCTATCTGACTCCATTTAAGGCAGAGGTGTTACTGCCATGGCAGAGAGACCACTGGGACCGCCTGCTTTCCTGATCCAGCATCCTCTGACTGTCTGCGAGCCTGCTGGCCAGCTTGTTAGTACAGATCACTGCCAGGATAGAGGGACTGGGAGCTCTCTGAATTAAGGGCCAACACACAACCATTTGTGGCGTGGGAGGTGCAAGAAAAGAGACAAAAATTAAATTTAAAACTAACGAGAGATCCGACAGTTGACACTGGAATTAACTGGTGCTGGGGAATTAACCAGTTCCTTCGTCAGCAACCTTGCAGGACACATGAGGGAATGCCAGCGAGTGAGGGGGACGGAGCCAGGGACTGTGACCGCCTTGGCTTTGTTCATCAAGAGCTACGTGGGTATTTGCTTTGCTGTTTCCTTCAGAAAGCTCAGCTTACTCACATATGCAAACATGCGCTTTTCTAGAGACTGGGGTAACTCTTACGGTGTCCATCTACTCAGGAGCTCCTATTAGTTTGGGTACACTTTATCAGAAATACCAGGAGCAAGGGTCCAGGGCAGGGAGGCTCCCGCAGACGTCTGGTTTGGAGGGGCTAACCTAAGGGCAGCTGACGGCCCGAGCCCTCACCCTGTTGAACTGGGACCAGGACACGGACATGCTGCTGTCGTCCTCCAGGTAGGAGACAGGGTGGGGACGCCCGACTGCGAGCTGGGGGAGGCAGGACAGGGCGGGTGGTCCCAGGCAGGCCCTCACCCTGTTGAACTGGGACCAGGACACGGACATGCTGCTGTAGTCCTCCAGGTGGCCGCTGCTGCTGTTGAACAGCTTCTGCGCCAGGAACACCAGGTTCTCCTTGGTCAGGCCCCGGTTGCTCTGCACCTCGGCCTTGAATTTCATGTTGAGCGCCTCGCACAGCTGCGGCCACAGCACTTTGTCAGGCACGGCGAATGGCACTCTGCCCTGGGAGGAGCGAAGCCAGAGCCGTATGAGAGAACAGCTGCATGATTTATTCCCTTCAAGCCGCCAAAGAGAAACAGCGACGGCTGGAAGTAGTTACAAACATCTGGGCTGCCAGGCCCGAGGGCAGTCAGACTTTCTTGGGGTGAGCAGTGCTGTGAAATTCAGAGGGTTCCATTTTACCTTCTTCACGCACAACCACCAGGTGGCCTCCCTGCTGTCTGAGCTGCTTTGTAATGAGCTGCTGAACCTACAGCCCAGTGAGGGCCTGAGACCATGACAGCAAAACCTAACCAAGGTTTGGGTCTTACACTGCAAGCTCACTGGGAATCTGGAAGTCAGAAAGACTGGTTCTCTAGGTGCAGAGAGAGTGTGTGTGCACACACTTCATGAATGTGGACGCTCAGCTCTAACACTTGCCCTGGAAATCACCTGCCCAGACCTCCTGTTCAGAGTGAAACAGTGTGGCATGGAAGAGTGGAAAACACCAGATAAAGCACTTTATCAGAGAACATATAGGTTGGCATATGACTGTTTAATAAATGGTTTTTAAAATCCCATTCAGCCACAATAATTCATTTTAATTGTTATATAGTTTTTGAGTAGGTAATTCCTTCACAAGATACAAAATTCAAAATGTACATTAAATGTATACAGTGAGGGCCTGGCACTGTGGTTTAGTGGGTAAAGCTGCAGCCTGCAGTGCTGGCATCCCATATGGGCGCCGGTTCAAGTCCCGGCTGCTCCACTTCTGATCCAGCTCTCTGCTATGGCCTGGGAAAGCAGTGGAAGGTGGCCCAAGTCCTTGGGCCTCTGCACTCATGTGAAAGACCCCAAGGAAGCTCCTGGCTCCTGGCTTTGGATCAGCACAGCTCCAACCATTGCGGTCATCTGGGGAGTGAACCAGCTGATGGAAGACCTCTCTCTCTCTGCCTCCCCTTTTCTCTCTGTGTAACTCTGACTTTCAAGTAAAATAAACAAATCTTTAAAAAAAATGTATACAGTGAAGTCACACCCCCATCTCTGCCTCCAGTGAGCCAGGTCCTCTCCTCAAAGCCACCTAAGTCTAGTTTCTTGTGAATAAGGCCAAAAATCTGAGCGTATGTCACAAAATCTGTGGAAAATGGAATGAAAAGATGTTTGTTTTGATGCAAAAAAGTTTGAGATCCATGCATAGTTTTTTCATGATACACATTTTCCATGAACTTTCTGAAGACTCCAGGTATTAAATACCAGCAATTATAGTTTCTTTTTTCCTTTTCTCCCCTGCATAAATCCCTATGTTCTGAATCTCCTTTGTTTCACCTAATGCTATATGTATGTGGGAGAGCTGGGGTCAGTAGGTAACGAAACCCCTCACTTTCACAGGGTGGGGTGGAGAGAAGGCGGGCAGTGGGCCCAGATCCACAGGAAATGTAAGGTGGGGGTTCTGCTGCAAGCTGGGTGGATACGGCTAATGATTCTATGCCGTGTGTTTCGAAATAGCTGGGAGACAGGATTTCTAGTGTTCTGATCACAAAAGGATGGTGAGTGTTTGAGGGGATGCACATGCTGCTGTCCCTGACTTGAGCGCTGCACCATGGATATCTGTACGAAGACATCTACCCTGTCACTATGTACCGCCACTAGGTGTCAATTAAAAAGAAAAAAGAAAGAACTTCTTCTTCTTCGTGTATGGCTGCTAAATACTTTGCAATATGGGGCCAATAAAATCTATTTCACCAGTTCCTGCTAAAGGGCAGAGCAGCTTCTGATCTTTAGGTGCCACAAACAATGCTGCCAGGCACACGTGTCAACCGACACACATGCACACACGGTGCAACAAGAAACTCCAAGAATTTCTTTATTTTAAAATAGCGTAATTTGTTACACAAGTCATTAACACAACTGAAAATGTGCAAAGTGCTTATTTACCTAGGCAACCTACTTAATTATAGGTTGCAGGAGATGTAGGGGCTGAGATCTGCTGGCAGGCAGAGAAGGAAATGAGGAAAGACGTAACAGTCTTATACGGGAAGTTTAGAGGGACAAGATGTAGGCAGAGATTTGTAAAAAGGAGTCTAAACTCAAGGTTTGGTAAAATCTCATAAAAAACTTGGCTTTGCAGTAAAATACTCTTCTCTACAGTGGAATGCTGGGAAGGCAGGAGAGAAGGGCATGCATTTGTGCACGCGTTATGCACTCATCCCTGCCGAAATCCACAGCACGCAGATCTCTGCCCTGCAGTGCTGTGAAGATGTGGGTCAAGCAGCACGCTAGCGGCACGCAGGTGCCCAGATCTAGAAACTTCCCTTTTTCCTTTAGACAAAGCTTCTCGTTTTCACGAGGGACTAGGAACAAATCACAGAATCTGAAATCTGAAAGGACATTTGACGTCATCCTCATTTATTGGAAGGGAGATGACAGGAGGGAACTGCAGCGAGAATGAACTTCCAGAAGGAACCGGGAGGCCCACACCCCATTCATGTCAAACCGAAGGACTCTGGACGCAATCTGCCGAGGATGGCCTCAGCAGCAAGAATCTCCTGTGTCAGCGAACACATCTCCCCAATGCCACCACAGCACGTCACTGTCCCTGTGCTGCGGTCACTGGCTGGAAACGTGATTCTAGGGAGGTGAGGTGACTCCCCCACAATCAGGCCTGTACGCTTCCCACGGTCTTTCTATTCTGCCTTCTGCTGTGCTTATTTGGTGGAGGGGGAAAATCAGACTCAGGACACTAGCACCAAGACCTTGAGAACCTCAGACCCCAGGAACCCACTCACAGGCTCGGCAAAAGCATTGTCCCAGAGAACGGTGGCTGTCGCGTTGTTGTCCTGGCTGCCATGAACGATCACCACCACGGGGAGTGACAGGGTCTGAAAAGACACAGGAGAAGGCTGAGCGCCTGTGACCTCCAGTTCCTCCCCCGTCACAGCTCCCCTTCTCCAAGACTCAGGAGGTGTCATCCCCACACACCGATCCGAGTGGCTCCAGGGATAATTTGACTTCTCATGCCAGCAGTCTTAGATATTTTATTTAAAAGTGCTGTTGTGGGACTGGTACTGTGGTGTAGAGGGCTAAGCCTGGCCACCTGCAATACCAGCATCCCATACAGGCACTGGTTTGAGTCCCGGCAGCTCTGTTTCTGATCCAACTCCCTGCTGATCTGCCTGGGAAAGCAGTGGAAGATGGCCCAAGTATTTTGGCCCCTGCTACCCATATTGGAGACCTGAATGAAGTTCCTGGCTCCTGGCTTCAGCCTGGCCCAGACCCAGCCATTGCACCCATTTGGGGAATGAACCAGTGGATGGAAGATCTCTCTTTGTTTCTAACTCTTTCAAATAAATAAAAGACATCTATTTTTTTTAATGGTGATGTTGCATGGATATTTCTGAAAGGTGGAATGAGTGTGTCAAAGGTACATGGGAGGGCCAGCGCTGTGGCATAGCAGGTAAAAGCCTCTGCCTGCAGTGTTGGCATCACATATGGGCACTGGTTCAAGACCCAGCTGCTCCACTTCTGATCCAGCTCTCTGCTATGAACTGGGAAAGCAGTAGAAGATGGCCCAGGCCGGCGCCATGGCTCACTAGGCTAATCCTCCGTCTTGTGGCACTGGCACACTGGGTTCTAGTCCCGGTCGGGGTGCCAGATTCTGTCCCAGTTGCCCTTCTTCCAGGCCAGCTCTCTGCTGTGGCCAGGGAGTGCAGTGGAGGATGGCCCAAGTACTTGGGCCCTGCACCCCATGGGAGACCAGGATAAGTACCTGGCTCCTGCCATCGGATCAGTGCGGTGCGCCGGCCGCAGCGCGCCGGCCACGGTGGCCATTGGAGGGTGAACCAATGGCAAAGGAAGACCTTTCTCTCTGTCTCTCTCTCTCACTGTCCACTCTGCCTGTCAAAAAATTAAAAAAAAATAAATTAAAAAAAAAAAGATGGCCCAAGGGCTTGGGCCCCTGCACCCATGTTGGGGACCCAGAGGAAGCTCCTGGCCCTGGATCGGCGCAGCTCCGGCTGGTGCGGCTGATTGGGGAGTGAACCAGCAGATGGAAGCCCTCTCTCTCTCTGCCTTTCCTTCTCTCTCTGTGTAACTCTTTCAAATAAATTAAAAAAATTCTTATAAAAAAAGGTACACGGAGAACGAGAAAGAGAAAAGTGTAAGAGTGTGCAAAGACCTCTGGGAAATAAGTGACAGATGCTCGGCACTCACTCTAGGACTATTTCTCAGACTCTGTCTGGCTGATGGTGCCGGTGACTCACCTTACCTATCCTAGCTGTGTCCATTTGTTATGTGTTTTCATGTCCTAAGAGAGTCTAAGGGATACAGCTCTGAGCACGAGGGCTCCTGTTTCCTGTGTGCTGGCAGAGATGGAAGATAACCAAGGGATGAAAACAACTCTGAGGGAAAAACAAACGGATGAACCCCGACACAAGCAGCCGAGCGAGGCCTCACCTTGACCTGAAATACCAGCTCATTCCCCCCAACGCTGAACTGTGATTCAAACAGGATGGTAAATTTTTCTTCTGTCACCGACTCCGCTCCACGGCGGTCGGACCTCTTGATTCGTTTCAGGGACTGCAAAAGGGAAACCCAAGATGATAAAGGCCCCCAAACAACTGGGGAAAATCCATCCTTCCCCTTCTCCTATCCTCACCATGTTCCTGAAGTGGGCGCTGAGGGTGCCAGTGGCTTGGTGATATTCCATGACACAGCAGTTGTTCAGGATCTCGCCGCTGCACTCGCTGCAAGCAGAGAGAGCCAGCTCCACATCCACACCACGACTCAGCACACAGGGGGCAGAGGCAAGAGACGGGGCAGGAGGACAGGAGAAGGTTGCCATGGATGACGTGATTCAGAGGAAACATTAGCTGTGCAAACACACAGTAGCTGTCTTGAGTGCATCCCTGCTAAACGACACAAAAAGCGCAGCATCTTCACAGAACGTCCTGTGTTCTTTCTCTAATGAACGAGAGGCCAGAAGGGACAACAGGGATCTGATCCAGGAGGCAGCGGTACTTTCTTCCCATCACAAGCACAGAGCAAAGCAGCAAGGGGCGAAGAGCAGGGGCAGAATTACTTGCGGGTGTTCTCGTTCTTGAGCAGGGACTTGGCCTGCTGCTCACTGATGATGGTGGCCTTCACCTGGGGGGGGTTCATGTGCACGTTCAGCTTCCCGCCCACCAGCAGGCGCACGGTGGCCGCGAACTTGGTCTGGGTCTTCAGGACCTGCGGGGGCTGCTTCTCGATGATGAATGTGCTGCAGGTGACACAGGGACAGGTGTGAGACACAGCCTCGGGGAGGGGACGCGCCACCCCTGGGGCTCAGCAGATGAAGGAAGGGCATGTGGCCCGGGCCCCTTTCCCACGAGACCACGGGGAGGGAGCTGGGGAGACGGCAGGGAGACGCAGGGTCCAAGAGCATCTCTTGTGGGGTCTGGCAACAGACACTGGGCCAGAGCAGCAGAGCTACAGGAGATGGGGTGGGAAGCAGGTGTGAGGCAGCGTGAGAAGGGTCTGAGGCGGAGACCTGGGCAGGACGGCACCACTGCTCCCACGCGCCAACCCCCGCGGAAGCCCCCCCCCACGCTGGGCGTGGCCGAGAGGCGGAGGCCACCTGGTCACCAGGGCGGAGATGATGTCCGTGATGGTGGCGTTGACCTCGGCCAGCATCTCCTCCACGGGGCCGGGGATGGGCAGCTGCTGGCAGAGGTGCTCGGCTCTGCGGATTTGCTGCCGGTTCTGCCAGATGATCTCAGCCAACTTCTCACACCTGCAGGAGCCCAGGCCACAGGAGCACATTGGCTTCCCCCACTTCCCAGGCCAGAGGCTGGGAGGCTCCAGTCTGGGGACCCCATCCCCAGGACCCGGCTCCACCCCCAGGGGGTGGGGGCCTAACCGCTCCTCCCTTGGAGAGGGCAGAGCAGGCGGCCTGCCTTCTAGAAGCGCAGAGAAGCCAGGAGGGGCAGGGCGGTCTCAGCTTGGGCCCAGGCAGCCCGAGGGTCAAGGATCCTCTGCACACCTGGCCCAGCCTCACCTCCACAGGATGCCCTCGCCCGGGTGGGGTGGGGGTGGGGCACAGGGTAGGGGACTGAAGTCTGCAAAAGGAATAGGCCCCCGGGAAACACCGGTGGCCCAGACAGTGGGGCCTGCAGCACGGGCCGAGGGAGGAGGCAGAAGAGGCAGCTGGCTCGACCAGCATGGCCTGGCCCCTGGCCCCTGGCCCCGCCTGCCTGCTCCCCGCGCGCACCAGGACTGCAGCACGTCCAGGCTGCCCTCAGGGGGCCCTCCGTTGCCGGCCAGCTGCTGCCGCCGCTTCCACTGGATCAGCTCGTCGTCCAGGATGATCGTCTGCTGCTTCCGCAGCAGCTGCAGGGTCTTCTGGTGCTTCTCGGCCAGCTCCTGCGGGGGGAGAGGGGGGGACAGCAGCCCTGCTGGGCTCCCAGACGATGGCCTGGACAGGACCCCCCGAAATGCAGGGCCTGGCACGGGCCCAGGCCCCCCTCTCCAGACCTGTGCCCCCCACCCCAAAGAAGAAGGATCTGGCCTCCTGCTCCCCAGGGCCCTGCCCTTGTCCTGGGCCCCTCCCCCATCTGGCTCCCGGAGACCCCGCCGCGGTGCTCCAGCCCGGGTGCAGAGGGGCGCAGAGCCACTTACCACGCGGTACTGCTGCAGTGTCTGGGCCTCACGCTGCAGCCAGGCCTCCAGGGACACCTGCTTCTGCTGCAGGGTCGTCTCCCTGCTCAGCCGCTCCTGGGGGTTCAGCTGGGCCAGTTGCGCAAACTGGGCTAGAGGAGGCGACACCACACCCATGGCCATCACCTCCCGGTGTTCGGCACGAAGCCCCCAGACCCCACTCAACTGGCCTGGGGCCAGACCCTCGAAGGCCAGACCTCCCAGCAGCGGCAGGTCGGGCTCCTGCCAGCCCTGGGTGCCGGAGGCGAACGGGCTCCCTAGAAGGCAGTGCCTGCCTCCTCTCACCAGGCTCCTGATGGGTTCTCCTCTGGGGGTGGGGGTGGGCACTCAGAGCACGCCTGAGGGGACCCCTGTGTGGCCTCTTCCCCACCCCACAGCGCTGGCTGCCCAGCCCTCCTCAGCGGGACGCTGGCCTGGGCCGGCCTCGGCTTGGAAGTGAGCCCTGGCGTTCACTAGCTGGCTGAACTTGGGCAAGCAGCTGGGCCTCCTGTGCCTCAGTTTCCCCGTGTGGGAAATGGAGACTCCTGGTACCTGCCTCAGTGGGTTGCTGTGGAGATGAACTATCTCATGATACAGAAAATACTCAAGAAAACACTTGGCCCACCCAAGTTCTGGGCAGATTCGTTCTCGTGGACGGGAGAAAGGACAGCAGTGGCCAGGTGACAGGGACAAGCAGAGCCCAGCCCCCACCTCACAGGGGAGGCCTCCTGGGAGGCCCCGCGCCCCGGCTTGGTCTCATCTCCTGAGCACAGGCTGGTCTCTGCACAGGAGGAGGAGTCCCCAGGTGCTGCAAGGAGCCCCAGCCGGCTGTCCAGGGCGGGTCCCTGTCAGCTCCGCCCACCACCAGGTGAGACAGACAGCAAAGGCGGAGACACCCTGCACCCAGGCCTGCTGGCAACAGGAGATCTCCTTGGGAAAGGGGCTCAGCTGCTCTCCACCTTGCTGGAGGACCCCCCCCCCCCAGGGCGGGAACAGGGCAAGAGGGAGGTCTCATGACCCCATTCAAAACGGCTGTGATGAAACCCTCAGACCCAGGGGAGGAGAAACGGGAGAACGAGGAGCACCTGTGGGTCTCCAACCTGGCTCAGAAGTCAATATTTGCCCAGGTAAAGCCTCCTGCACGCCCTCCCCTGTGGGGAGCCCCCCCACCCCAGGGCAGCCGCCCTGGCCACAGGGGACGCCTCCCTCCCAGAGCCTCAGGAGCTCCTGGTGGCCTCTGAGGGCCATGTCACACGGACCTCGTCCCTGCCTCATGGAACACACAAGCTGGGACAGACCAAAGCCACTCAGCCAGCCAGCAGCAGCCCACAGCTGCAACTCAGAAATCGGCTTCCAACTCTGGGGCGTGGACACTGCGCAGTGACCCTTTAGCGGTCTCCTGGCAATTGGCAGAAGCTTCTGGAAGAGGCCAGGGAGACCTGAGGCAACTGCTGGGCTCCCTGGGGGGCTCTGAGCGCCCCCTGCTCACACAGGTGCACAGTTGTGCCTCTCATGGGGGAGGCAGATAAGCGAGGCTGAACACACACTGCCCTGAGGGAACAAACCCAGACTCCACTCCAGGCCTAACCCATCCTTGGGAACAGAAAACCCAGGTTCGGGACTACAAAAGCCGTCAACGGTCACAGGACTCTCGCGGACATGATGTGAACTCTGCTGGCCCTGCCCCAGGAAGGAGCCATGCTTTTCTGGAGTCAGTGTGGGCCTGGTTCCAATGGGAGGAAGACATGCTAGAATCTTCCTGCGAGCTAAAAACCGACTCAGTACCAACGATGTTTCAGGGATGGGCAGGTCTCACGGTGTGATGTAGTCTGGGGGCCTATTCCTCTACTGTGGTGTAGTGGGTGAGCTGCTGCCTGGGATGTCAGCATCTCATGTTGGAGCACAGCTTTGCTTACAATCCAGTCCCCTGCTAACGTGTACCTGGGGAGGCAGCTGGGCCCCGCTACCCATGTGGAAAACAGCTGGAGCTCCTGGCTTCAGCCTGGCTCAGCCCTATTTGTTGCTGACATCTGTGGAGTGAATCAGCAGATGGAAGACTGATTTTTCTGCCTTTCAAATAAATAAATAAGTTTTTTTAGAAAAATATGTATTGTCTAGTGGAACAGGGCGTAAATTTGCGGTACCACACCTATATGGAGCCCACGTTCATGTGTTAGAGGAATATGCATGCTGTGCGTTATGTCGGTGTTTGTATGGGCTGATTGGCTGGGTCACGGCTTCTCTGAGATCTTTTTTTTTTTAATTTTAGGATTTAGGCTACAACCTAATTTTTAAAAAATATTTATTTATTTTAAAGGCAGAGATATGGGGCCTAACTACTTGGGCCATCCTCTGCTGCTTTCCCAGGCGCATTAGCAGGGAGCTGGATGGGAAGTAGGGCAGCCAGGCAAGCAAGCAGGAGGGGACAGTCTGATCTCAAACTGTCTAATTCCTATGGGGTCAAGAGGGGGCGCTGATGGGCTCTACAGTTTCAAGCAGGATGCACACCAGGCCAGGAGAGCTGTGTCTCCTAGTTTAAGGACTCCCTGGTGTGCAGGAGGGCCACTCAGAAAAGCACTGCACAGAACGTCCAAAGCTGTTAATCACAAGCATAGCTCCTTGAACCTTGAGCTTTCCCTTCTTAACACATCATTATTAATTTCCCATTGATCATTTCATAAAAGCTAGGTTTATAAAATGCCTATTCTATATGAAAATACTGTGTCTGGTGCTGTTTCCTTAGACTGTGTGCTCTTTCAGCTTCCCCCACTGTCTAGGGGCTTCCCGGGTATGGGGGGTTCTGCTTGAGACCGCACATTCTCACTTTCCAAAGCCTCTCTTCCTCTCAGCACTCTCTTCGATGCCAGTGATAAAAACGGATGCCTTGTGGGTAGAGAACAGGCCCCCCTCCGATGCAGCCTGCCCTGCTTTCCAGTCCTTACTCCCCGCGTGGGGACGTGCGCGGTGGCCGCCCGGCCTCACCTTGGATCCTCAGGCTCTCCTGGTACTGGATGATGAAGTACTCCTGAGTCTGCTGCAGCTTCTTCAGCTCGTTCTCCGTGTCCTGCGTGACCAGCCGCAGCTCCTCGAACGTCTGGTTGATCTGAAGGTGCTTCTGGGACATGGCGTCGGCCAGGCTCCCAGCGGGAGAACTACCCTGGAGACAGACCCAGGAAAGTACAGACCAGTGTAATGGGAGAAAGCCTAGGTCTTCATCCCTAGAAAAAGTCAATGCCAGCTTCTACCACCGGCCTGAGACCTCAAAAAAACGTAATTCTGAGTTGCACAAATCACAAACATCTGTGAGCACTGGGGTGGAGTGGGGACAGTGGAGATACAGGTGACCTGCCTGAACACGGCACATTCACAGAGCTCAGGAGAAACTTTTATTTCAGATCTGGCCTCTACCAGAGTATCCCATTCCAAACAGGGTCCATGTGATTCCCTTCAGACACACTAGAATTCAGCACGTTCCTGGTGTCATCTGGGTTTTCCTAGTGATGATGATGACGACTCCTCATTCCAACCAATTCACTGACCCAATGCCAAGTACTACACTAATGCCAGGGACAGGGTGAGCAACAGCGCTGTGTGCCACTGTCTGTGTCCTCACTCAAGATATTCTTTTTCTTTAAAAAAGATTATTTATTTTTGAAAGGCAGAGTGACAGAGAGGGAGAGACAAGAAAAGAAACACATCTTTGATCTGCTGGTTCACATCCTATAGGGCTCAGACAGCCAAGGCTGCACAAGGCAGAAGCCAAGAACTGGGTCTCCTACGAGGATAGAAGGGCACCAAGCACTTGGGCCATTATCTGCTGCCTTCCCAGGAGCATTAACAGGAAGCTGGACTTGAACGGGCACTCCAATATGGTGTTGCAAGTGGCAGCTTAACCTGCTGGACCACAACAACGGCTCCTCGCTCAAGATATTCTTGAGGTGGAAGATGTAGCCCGAGGACTTCCATATGAAGTTGTGGGGTGGTCTCTGGGAATCCAGCCATTTAAATGACCTGGTCCAATCCATTCCTTCAACACTGGCTTGGGAGAGGGCTAAGTAATTTCAAGAATATGACCGTGCCTCTAGTCAAAAATTGCTCTGTTGAGATTAAAGTATTTTGCACTTATCCGCATGGTTTTGTGGTTGCAATCTCATCAAAGTTATATAAATCAATTAAGAGTACATCTCTTTAAAAAATATGCCAGTAGATGTATGACGAGTCACCTTGACAAAGTTGAGTCCAGAGATAGGTGGGACTGAAAGGCCCTCCCAGCTCCTCTCCCCAACCCCCAGGCGACACTCACATTGTTGGCTTCCCGGACCAGCCTCTGTTCGTTGTACAGAATGTGCCGGATGCAGCGGACCAGCTCCATGGGGCAGCGGTCGTACGTGTTCTGGAAGAATCCAAGAGCAGACATCACCTTGATCCACCACACGCTATGGGGCCTAACCCAGTCTTTGAGCTCTTATGATGAAGAAGATTCCTGGAGCCATGAAGGCATAATCATAGGAAATGGTACCATCCCCCCATACCAACAGGAACAAGACAGTGCATCGAAGAAAACCTAATGACAGCAAAAAGGAAATATTATTTTATTTGTTGCATCTTAATGTGCCTAAAGTACTAGGGCAATTTTTTTTTTTTTTTGACAGGCAGAGTTAGACAGTGAGAGAGAGAGAGACAGAGAGAAAGGTCTTCCTTCCGTTGGTTCGCCCCCCAAATGGCCGCTACGGCTGGTGTGCTGCGCTGATCCGAAGCCAGGAGCCAGGTGCTTCCTCCTGGTCTCCCATGGGGTGCAGGGCCCAAGCACTTGGGCCGTCCTCCACTGCACTCCCTGGCCACAGCAGAGAGCTGGCCTGGAAGAGGGGCAACCGGGACAGAATCCGGCGCCCCGACCGGGACTAGAACCCGGAGTGCCAGTGCTGCAAGGCGGAGGATTAGCCTAGTGAGCCGCGGTGCCGGCTTTCCATGAGCTTTTGAAGGACCCTTGTATGTGACCTTGAACTGGCTGCCCTGGAGGATATTTTTGAATCAGTTGTCCAAATGGAAGCATAGACAGATAATTATCTAAAGTATTTGATCAATATCAAATTTCCTAAAGCTGATAATGGTATTATAATCCAGTAAGAGAAGGCTTATAGTCTTAGAAAGTGCACAAAGAAGTACTCATGGGTGAAGGGATACAATGTATGCAATTTACTATCAAATGACTAAAAAAGTTTATGCCTGTGCATGCAGAGAAAGCAAGAATATGATTTAGTGTTAATGAGTAAATCTGGCTTTCCTAGGGTTTTTTTGTATTATTTTTGCAATTTTATATAAATTTCAAATTCTTTTGAAAATTCTTTTTACAGGGCCATACAAAACCAAATAATCAGTAGCTAGTGCTTGTAACAGAACCTAGTGCATGTAACCTCAACAGAGCTGGGTGGGAGGAGGCATTCCAAGTCTCCAGGAAGGACTAAACAGGGGGAAAGCCCTTCTGAGGAAGAGCTCTGAGTGTGGCCCAGCGTTCACACCCACCTGGAGCTGGGTGGCGTAGTGGCCCAGCTTGATCTTCAGTAAAAACCCATCTTCCCCCACCTGATGCTCCGCCTTCTTCTGCAGCTCTTGCACCAGGCCCTCCAGGAGCTGGGTGGCCTTAATATTCTCCTGTGGATTATCAAGATCTATTGAGTCCCTAGGGGAAAAAAATTACATGATCTGTATACATAAATGCACATGAGCCTGTACAAATGCAGCCTCAACATATCACACGTTTCCTCTGATTAAAGTGATTTCTTCTTTATGCTCCCTGCAAATTTTAAGAAAGAGCCTGGGGCCAGTGCTGTGGCGTAGTGGGTAAAGCTGCAGCCTGCAGAGCTGGCATCCCATATGAGTGCTGGTTCGAGTCCTGGCTGCTCCACTTCTGATCAGCTCTCTGCTGTGGCCTAGGAAAGCAGTGGAAGATGGCCCAAGTCCTTGGGACCCTGCACCTGTGTGAGAGACCCAGAAGAAGCTTCTGGCTCCTGGCTTCAGATCGATGCAGTTCCAGCCGATGTAGCCAATTGGGGAGTGAACCAGCAGATGAAAGACTTTTTTTTTTTTTTTTTAAGATTTATTTATTTTTTTGAAAGTCAGAGTTAGAGAGAGAGAAAGGTCTTCCTTCTGTTGGTTCACCCCCTAAATGGCCACCATGGCCAGCGCTGTGCTGATCCAAAGCCAGGAGCCAGGTGCTTCTTCCTGGTCTCCCATGGGGTGCAGGGCCCAAGCACTTGGGCCATCCTCCACTGCACTCCCGGGCCACAGCAGAGAGCTGGACTGGAAGAGGAGCAACCGGGACTAGAACCCAGCGCCCACATGGGATGCCGGCGCCACAGGCACAGGATTAACCAAGTGAGCCACAGTGCCAGCCCCTGAAAAACCTTTCTCTCTTCCTCTCTGCCTTTGCCTCTCTATAACTTTCCCTTTCAGATAAATAAATAAATATATTTTTTAAAAAGGACGAGCTCAACACAGAGTGACCGATGCTGCTTCATAATCTGCTAATTCCCTGAGCTGGCCTGCATGCTACAGGAACAACACACTGCCCTTTCTCCTTCTTGTGGCTGGCTTGCGCCGGTGCTTGTGCTATCTGCTCTGAGAAATGAAGGGAAAGGGAAAGTGCTTTGTGCACACTGAAGGAAATAAGCACTCTGATAATTTCCTATTTATAGTTATCCCACAAGGGTGTACAAAGGGCACAAGGTCAGGACCGTTCTATGTGTCCTTTCCAGACTCGATGAGTTAGACATCTCTATTGCTAATTTTACAGAGTATTTCTTAAGCAGAGATAGGTGAAACAACAGTCATTGCTACTTCTAAGGAGTTCTGGACATGAGACACTAAGGCAGAGGGTGCCTGCAGGAGTTTGCCCGGGTCGGATGTGGCAGACTGGGACTTGCAGGCCACGCTGACGTTTCCAGTGACGGACTCCATGTTAGTTCAGAGCCGTTTAACCGGGGACAGGTGAGACAGCCGCCTTCCCTCCCTTCTTTCTTTCTGCAACTGAGGCGACAGTTGCTATGGGGCAGTACTGTATTGCTAGCTATCTGAAGAAACCAAACAGCGGTCAGGCAGAAATAACATTCAATTACTGTTATCCAGGTCTGGGGCCAAAGAGATCTAGTGGTAGCTACGAGGTGCTGTCATCTTTAAACCCCTGAAGTTAGTCAGCAACTCAGTGCAAGTGGAAGCACAAACAGGTGTGCCAGGACAACCGTACTTCATCAAAGAGAACACCCTAGCCTACTCCTGGAGAAGGCAATAAAGAAAGCCAAACTGTAAACACACACGCTCTGTGTAGTAAATAAGATACAGATTAAATATGAGCCTGGAAGGAAACAGGGGCAGCCCTGCACCTCTGTTGCCAGGCAATGCCCCTTGCTGGAAAGCCCTCTCGTGAGAGGTCCAGCCTGTGGAAGAAACTCGGGCAAGCACTGGTTCATTACTGGAAAACGTGTTTCTCTGCTGAAATAAAAGTGACTTGTTTAAGACAGCTTCAGCATGAAGAACTGACAGTTTTTATTAAAATATTTGTATTCCTTTTTAAAAAGATTGATTGATTTATTTGAAAGGCAGAGAGAGCGAGCGAGAGATCTTACACCTCTGATTCACTCCCTAGATGGCCCCAAGAGTCGGATCTAGGCCAGGTAGAAGCCAGGAGCCAGGATCCATCCTGGTCTCCTGGGTGGCAGGTGACAAGAACTTGGGCCATCTTCCACTGATTTCCAAGGTGCACTGGCAGGAAGTTGGGGCAGAAGTGGAGCAACTGGCACTTGAATCGGTGCACTGATATGGCATGCTGGTGTCACAAGCAGCTGCACCACAACATGGGCTACTATATATAAAGGATTTATTTATTTGAAAGGCAGAGTATGAGTGAGAGAGAAAGAGAGAGAGAGAAATCTTCCATCTGCTGGTTCACTTCCCAAATACCCACAACAGCCAGGGCTAGGCCAGATAGAAGCTAGGAGCCAGGAACTCCATTTTGATCTCCCATGTGGGTGGCGGAGGCCCAAGTACTTGGGCCATCATCTGCTGCCTCCCAGGTGCATTAACAGGAAGCATGGAGTACCCAGTTCTTGAGCCAGACACTCTGATATGGGATGTGGGCATTGCAAGTGGTGGCTTAACCTGCTATACCACAATGCTTGCCCCAAATTCTATATATTCTTAAGAAAAACAAAAATAAATAAAACTTAGGTTTTCCTTAATATCAACACAAGTCATTTAATACTCATTCTGTAAGAAGACTATATGGGAACCTTGTTAATTTTAAATCAACAGAAACTTCTTACTGAGGTTTTTCTAAGTCATTTAAATAGAAAAGAAAATGAGAAGGAAGTGGAAAAGCACTAAACAAGGTACACTTGACATTCTCATATTTAGCTCATTTTTTTTCTCACTTAATTATACGAAGCTGAGAGTGTTTTAATTGCTTAGAAAATTGCCTTCCTTTGATGCTTTCCACTTTCTGAATAGAAATCTGTTACTAACATGCAATTGAAAGTATTCAAAGCAACACCACCAACAGGTTACAGCCAAACAGCAGCATCGATGAGGGCTTCTTGGGGGCTGCCAGAGGACCCAGGGCCACCGCGATGCAGGCCGTGAGTGTTTATTTATCTAAGGAATACGTCAGACTACAGCCAACCAACAAGCTCCCTGGCCCTGAGCAGAGCACAGCACAACCTGCTGCTGCGTGTGAAGCAATGCTGTCAGTTCAAGAGCTGCGCCGGGGTGGGCATTTGGCACAGCAAACAAGAGCTGTGGGGTTTGCCTGCATCCTGTATTGGGGAGCCTGGGTTCCAGTCCTGGCTCTGCTTCCAATTCCAGCTTCCTGTTAATGCACACCCTGGGAGTCAGCAGGTCCTGGCTCAAGTACATGGGAGAACTGGATTGAATTCCTGGATCAGCTTTGGCCTGGCCCAACCCCAGCACTTGGGGAGTGAACCAACAAATGGGAAATCTTTGTTTCTTTGTCTCTATTGAGAAAAAAAAAAATTAACAACCTGTGTTGTCAGTTAACTGCACTGTATACTAATTCTACAAGAATATATATTTTTGAAAATGTATTTATTTATTTGAAAGGCAGAGTTACAGAGAGGCAAAGAGAAAGAGAGAGAGAGAGAGAGAGCTAGAGAGAGAAGAGAAAGTCTTTCATCTGCTGGTTCACTCCTCAGATGGCTGCAACAGCCGGAGATGGGACAATTCAAAGCCAGGAGCCAGGAGCTTCTTCTGGGTCTCCCATGCAGGTGCAGGGGCCCAAAGACTTGGGCCATCTTCTACTGCTTTCCCAGGCCATAGCAGAGAGCTGGATCGGAAGTGGAGCAGCCGGGACACAAACTGGCGCCCATATGGGATGCCGGCACTGCAGGTGGCAGCTTTTCCCACTATGCCACAGCACCGGTTCCTTGATTGCTTTCTTAGCAGCAACAGCTTAATACTTTCAGCCAGTATTTACTATTTAATGGAACAAATCTTGCTTTTGAATCCCAAAATTTATTCCATCTCCCTAAATCTAAGATGGGGTTAAATACATTGTCATAGATCACATCAAACATTTTTTTATGACACAATTTTTACAGTCTCCATTGTGACATTTTTCTAGTCCAACTTCAATACTTTTGTGCCTCACAGCATATGATGTGGAAAACTGTCCACCTACCAGGCTTGGCTTTCGATCCACTGGGACAGGTAGTGGCGCACCTCGATGGGGAAGTGCTGGCCGTACAGCGCTTGCATCTGGTGAAGGGCATCTCCTTGCAGCTGCTGGGCTTGTATCCACACAGCCATGGCTTATAACCTGCTGGGAAAACAGTCCGTGGTTGGCAGTATTGAAATGCTGCTTTATTTATTTATTTATTTATTTGAAAGTCAGAGTTACACACAGAGAGGAGAGGCAGAGAGAGAGAGAGAGAGAGAGAGAGAGAGAGAGAGGTCTTCCATCTGTTGGTTCACTCCCCAAATGGCCGCAACAGCCAGAGCTGCACCAATTTGAAGCCAGGAGCCAGGAGCTTCTTCTGGGTCTCCCACATGGGTGCAGGGGCCCAAGACCTTGGGCCATCTTTTACTGCTTTCCTAGGCCACAGCAGAGAGCTGGATCGGAAGTGGAGCAGCTAGGACACAAACTGGTGCCCATATGTGATGCCAGCACCGCAGGCAGCGGCTTTACCTGCTATGCCACAATGCCGGCCCTGAAATGCTGCTTTTAAACACACTGGAGTATGGAGTAAATCATCACATGGGTTACAAAAGTAAATACTTATGGTAGACTCAAGATAAGTATTCTTGAACTGAATTTTAGTGTTAAAATGTTTTCAAAATGCAGACATTCAGTGTGGCTGTGGGATGGTACACGATGGGGCCCATGAGGTTCTGACCTTAAAATGGACCGAGGGACAAAACCACATCAGGGAAAGGACTTTGATATCATAGTCATGGTCTTCTGTTCAAAACCACCAGCACTGGTCAGCAGTATTCAGTAGTAACTATACAACTACCAGAGGGACTTGTCAAAAATTACATGTTTACATTTGGTATCCTGGCTTTAAGAAATATAGAAGGGGCTGGTGCGTGGCGTAGCAGGTAAAGCTGCTGCCTGCAGTGCCAGCATCCTATATGGGCGCTGGTTGGAGTCCCAGCTGCTCCACTTCTGATCCGGCTCTCTGCTATGGCCTGGGAAAGCAGTGGAAGATGGCCCAAATCCTTGGGCCCTTGCACCCATGTGGGAGACCCAAAAGAAGCTCCTGGCTCATGGCTTTGGATCGGCATAGCTCTGGATGTTGAGGTCAGCCATCTGGGGAGGGGACCACTGGATGGAAGACTTGTCTCTCTCTTGCTCTCTCTCTCTGCCTCTGACTCTCTGTAACTCTGCCTTTCAAATAAATAAACAAATCTAAAAATAAAAAAAGAAATATAGAAAACACACTGCCATTTTGAAAGGAGCCCCATAAAAGAAAACGGAGACACCTGAAGCATGGACTGAACCCCATGGATTATCACCAATGCTCTGCTCACAAAGGGTGTAGACGTAGCTCAAAAAACACCCCAAGGTCCTCCTTCTGAGTTATTTCAAAGGAATTTATGAAGCAATGTTCCCTTAAACTATAGCACAAAAGCAACATATACCAACTATTAGAAACAAAAACCATTATATTCCAATAGTGGATAGGTTTTTGAAACAGGCTCTTGATTTTAGACAGTTTTATAAAACCACCAGGATGCTTCCTCAGACTCCCCTGAGAGTTTGTAACTCAGTTGGCAGAGGATCTGGGATGAACTAGACTGGGGCAGCAATGTTACTTTATGTAACTGAAGGAACTAAAACCGAAGCTTTCTCTACACCGTTTTCCATAATGTGGAATTTGGTATAAAGCAGGGCTGTCTTGAATCCTACACAAAGTTATCTGCTCGCTGATCTGCACTATTCTCTTAAGAAGAATGCTACAGTTAGGCTCCAGGGAACTGGACCTGGATTTTGTTAATGACCAGAGACTCACTGTTTGACCAGAGACTTAACACTGTGTGTTAAGAAACAAATCCTTTCTCTTCTATGCTACTTGTAGTTGTCTGATCCTGTAACACCGAGCTATTTATGGGACAAGTCAGTTAGCCAACAATGTGTGTGGGGTAGTTGCCAGTTACCTATTTTAGACTTGTGCAATGCTATAGAACATTTGAATGGTGTACACTTTTATTTAGGGCTTTTAGGCATTAGGGCCAGGATCACTTAAGATCAACCAAACACATCAAATTTCATTAGCAAACATATCAAATTTCATAGTGAATATCCCAGAAAAGACTTGGACCAAAGAGTTCTCTCTAGAAGCAATCCCACTTTATAATCAAACATCTGGAAGACATCTGATTGTATAATACATTTTTTTATCTCAAGATTTTGGAAAATCAGAACAGATACCCAATCATGATTTTGGATGAAAGATACAGGGATGGATGGATGAAGGTGCGCAGGCCTTCTTTACGTCTGTGGAAGACTGATGCAGGAATGAAGAGAGTCCAAATAATAAGAAAGAAGTACGACCTCATCAGAACTCTCTTAATGAACATGTAATGGACACCAACAGATAAAAAATTCTCTTGCATCAGCATTCATGACCTGAATCGTCCTAAAAGAAGAAAGATGGAAAACTTTAGCCTTCCTGATCAGAGACTCTGTCCCTGTCCACCCAAATACACAATGTTCTGGCAACTCTATCTTCTTAATCTGTTTTTTTCTTATTATTTATCACTTCCTGACATGCATCATGTATTTGTGGGTTTATTGTTTTTAAAGATTTATTTATTCACTTGAAAGGCAGAGTTACAGAGAGAGGGAGAGGTTGAGAGAGAAAGAGAGAGATCTTCACACCACTGGTTGACTCCCCAAATGGCTTCAATGCCTGGAGCAGGGCCAGTCCTAAGGCAGGTGCCAAGAGCTTCTTCCAGGTCACCCATGTGGATGCAGGGGCCCAAGCACTTGGGCCATCTTCCACTGCTTTCCTATGCACATTAGCAGGGATCTGGATCAGAAGTGGAACAGCCGGGACTCGAACCAGTGCCCACATGGGATGCTGGTGCTGCAGGTGGCAGCTTAACCCGCTGAGCCACCTGCTGAGCCAGCCCTATCATCATGTATTTTTTGACTGACTTCTCTTTAGGGTGAAATCACCATGAACACATTCAGTGTTTTGTTCACTGCTCTTTCTCTCAGGCCTTAAATAGTGCCTGGCACATAAACACTGTAAATTTCTCTTTTAAAAAGTAATTTAGGGGGCGGGTGCTGTGGTGTAGCAGGTAAAGCCTTTGCCTGCGGTGCCACTGGTTCAAGTCCTGGCTGCTCCATTTCTGATCCAGCTCTCTGCTATGGTTTAGAAAAGCAGTAGAGGATGGCCCACGTGCTTGGGCCCTTGTACCTGTGTAGGAGATCTGGAAGAAGCTCCTGGCTTTGTATTGGCCCAGCTCCAGCTGTTGCAGCCATTTTGAGAGTGAACCAGTGGATAAAAGATCTCTCTCTCTCTCCCTCCCTCTGCCTCTCTGTAACTCTGCCTTTCAAATAAATAAATCTTTTAAAAAGGTTTTTTATTGGGGCTGGCGCTGTGTCACTACGGGTTAAGTTGCCCCTTGCTATGTCTGCATTCCATATTGCAGTGCCAGTTTGAGACCTGGCTACTCCACTTTTTTTACTTCTCTCTTTACAAACAGATTTCTTTATGTGAGAGGCAGAGTGAGAGCGAGAGCTCCTATCTACTGATTCAGTCCCCAAAGGACCACAACTGCCAGCACTGGGCTTAGGTTGAAACTGGGAACCAGAAATGTACTCCAGGTTTCCAAATGGTGACAGGAACTCACTTTCTATCTTTTTTTTTTTTTTTTTAAGATTTATTTTATTTGTTCGAAAGACAGAGTTACAGAGAGAGGTAGAGACAGAGAGAGAGGTCTTCCATCTGCTGGTTTACTCCTCAGATGGCCACAACGGCCGGAGTTGCGCAGATCAGAGGCCAGGAGCCAGGAGCTTCTTCCGGGTCTCCCATATGGGTGCAGGGGCCCAAGGATTTGGGCCATCTTCTACTGCTTTCCCAGGCCATAGCAGAGAGCTGGATCGGAAGAGGAGCAGCCGGGACTCGAACCAGTGCCCATATGGGATGCTGGTGCTTCAGACCAGGGCTTTAACCCACTGTGCCACAGCGCTGGCCCAGGAACCCACTTTCTTGAGCCATGAGCAGAACCACTCAGGGTTTGCATTAGCTGGAGGCTGGAATCAGAAGCCAGAGGAGGGCATCAAACCCAGGGACTTGGACAGGAGACTGGGCATCTTAACTGGTGTCCTAACTGCTGGACTAAACAACTGCCAAAACATTGTAAACTTCCTGCTGTATAAATAGACGTATATACAAAATTTAGTTCAATCTATCAGGCCTTTCCAAAGTTATGACGGAACAAGATATCAGAATAATAGACATGACAATGAAACAATTTCCATTTAATTGATCAATGACAATTTTGTAATTTGGAAGTCCATGATAATAATGGTCTGTTGGTACTTTAATATGCCACAGTTTGTAACTTTTCCTTTCAGTTTTTGTTCATTTTGTCTGGTTCTGCACTGAACTCAGAGCAGTGGGAGGGGCCGACGCCGTGGCGCAGTGAGTTAAAGTCCTGCCTAAAGCACCAGCATCTGATATGGGTTCCGGTTCTAGTACAGGCTGCTCTTCTTCTGATCCAGCTCTCTGAAATGGCCTGGGAAAGCAGTATAAAATGGCCCAAATCCTTGGGCCCCTGCACCCACGTGGGAGACCGGGAAGAAGCTCCTGGCTCTTGGCTTTGGATCAGCTCAGCTCTGGCCGTTGCAGCCATCTGGGGAGTGAACCAGCAATGGAAGACCTCTCTCTGTTTCTCTACCTCTCTCTGTAACTGTCTTTCAAATAAATAAAATAAATCTTAAAAAAAAAAAAAAAAAGAGCAGTGAGAGACACAAGTACATTACTCACTATTGTGTCCCAGGAGCCTGGAGCAGTGCCTTGCCTAAGAAAAGTGGTCAGGAAATATTTACTCAATGAATAAACAATTAGATCAATAATTCATGCTGGCTGGGATGCCTGTACCCCATGTCAGAATGCCTGAGGTTCTGGCCCTAGCTCCATTCCCAATTCCAACTTCCTGCTAACAGGCACCCTGCGGGCAGCAGGTCATGGCTCAAGTAGTCAGGTCCCTGCCACCCACACGGGAGATACAGATTGAGTACTCAGCTCCTGGCTTCAGCCTGGCCCAGCCCTGGCACAGTGGGCGTTTGTAGTGAACCAGCAGATG